ATAAACCCCCTCCGTGATCTGGACGAAGGGTGGGGGTTTAGACTTGGGGGACAATGTTAGTAGCTGTTGTGAAATCAACTGTTGTATGTTGAGGGTCACAATGCACCCTCATCCAGGGTATCAGTGCTGTATCGTACTTTTCAGCACTTCTGTTGGAGGTTCATACCAGCGGAGTTAACAGAGGAACAGATGGCGGCCATGAAAGAGTCGAAGCTAGCATTGCTTGTCCGGAATAGTATAAACTGCTGGAAGCTGCATTCATTCTTCGATTCTTGGAGTTCATACTCAGAACAGTATCCAGAAGAGGACCCAGAAGAAAGGACTCTAGTCCCATGCAATAAGCATGCTTCCTCTTGATAGAATGCTGTGTGCATGCCTTGGTCTAATCTCATTAATTTTTCTGTATAGCCAAGTGCTTGCCGGTACTGGTGCTGATGCATAGTGATATTGACCCCAAGACGTAGGCTGCAGTCGCTTGGATAGTTAAACATGCACGGTGTATGCGTAATCCAGCTGCAACGACATGTTGCTATGTCACGGCCCCTCTGCCAGGCGGTGTATGTCAATAGAAGCTCTATACATACCTGGGCTTACTGCTCCAATCTCTTGAAGTTACCACGAGGAGAGGGGGAGCGGGACGGGGAGGACTCCCTAGCTCTCTTCGACGGAACAGACCCAGGGACCGGGGATAGGTTGATTGTCCCAAGGGAAACACCAGGACGAGGGAGACACCCCTTTAAAGTCTCGACGACGCCGATCGATTGACCCGACCAAAGCTGAGACTCCAATGCGGGGAGTCACAGGCGCTCTCACACCAACAGAGACGGGGTCCCGCAGAGGGATTTGTATCGTGCGTTTGCAAGACAATAATTTATTGGCGGTACCTATGGTATAACATGATGCAGCACCATGCTTGTATACTGCCAGTGGATGAGCGTGCTCGGATCGGGCTACGCGGGCTAGACGCATGATTCGGTGGTGCAGGCGACGAATACGCTGGTCAAGATCGTGGGTATTGGGATGAAGTTCATTCGCGAGTCCCCGAGTAGCTGGTTTTCCAGCTGCTCCTCCACCCGACGGCGCTCACTCGCCTCCTGATCTAGAACCGGCCGCGCTTGATTCCCCTTCGAACGCCCGGGAGCCTGAACATGCCTGAAACGTCCCATGAATTTGGAATCGCGGTCAGATATTAACATCAGCGGTAGGCCCCATTCACAAATGACGGCTTTGTCCTGCTCAGGCCGTGTGCCAAAGAAGCCTTGTCGAACTATCTCGAATATGAAAATTTTTCCAAATTCGCTGTAGTACGTCGACAGTGCGAAATGGGTACATACCATCTCATAATTCTCCAGCAGCAGCTGGAAATAACCGAAATATTGGAGTGGGCATTAGATTATTCGGATGGCTACAGTGACGAAACGACACTTTATATCAGATGCCGAGTATTTCTATTGCGCGAATGATTCGAGGATATCTGTTCGAGCCGCCCTAGCCCTATCTATTGCCCGCACTATATTAGTTATAAGTAGCCCAAGTCGAGTACATTTGCCCGATTATGCATAACGGCGGCTTAGGAGCGAGAGATGGCGTGGCGTTGTTCCTATGCCGGGCACCGCCATGTACCCTATATGACGAGGGTTTCACACTGAACATAGACAGTCCAGATGCCAGTCGTAACAAGAAGGCAAAAATAGTCGCCGTGAGTAGCTGATAAGACATGATTTCATGTCAACATAGCGAGACCGATAATCAAGCGAATGTAGGCGTTTCGGAGCCAACCATAGTTAGTTCGTTATTCACCAGCCGTTGATGCCGATACATTTCAAGTTCTATCAACAACTTGAGTCCGAGAGTCATCCAATCATTGCTGCACCGGGGACATGAGAGCCGCCATAGGGCGTCGTAACAGGCATCTATAGATTCCATTATATCCAGTTGGGTAGACACCGGCAGCGCGGAATGCCATTCTAATGACGGGTCGATTGATAAACTGATCTAGCTCTTCTGTATTCTGTAGATGCAAGTTAATGTAGATGATGATTGGACATTGTCCGTGCGAGTCCTGGTATGACGATGGTGCCATCCCTATTCCAGTGTTATGACAACATTATTCACTCGGAGGCATATCAAAGACCAAAGCATCCACGTCTCTCCTCGTTGATGTTTACCGGTCCGTTTAGGTTGCTCTTGACACTGAGATCACCTTAGAATGATGGAGACGGTAGAGTTGTCTTTACCCCGAGCTATCAAGCGCTGCCCGCGGTGTTTAAAGCCGTATGGCCATTTTTTTGAGGCGACTATGGGAAGGGAGGAGCGTCGTATTCAGACCAGAGATATACAAGGAAGAGTGATGGCTGAGGTAGTAGCATATATATGGCCTGAAAACCACTGGGCCTTGGTATATAGGTATATAGGCATCAGGGCCCTTGAGAATGTCCTGAGAGAATATTTAGGGAAGAAGAAAATTTGAGAAAGGGGGGAGGATTTGCCTCCTTTTATGGCTGAGACAGGCTATCCAGTCCCTTTGTTGCAGTCAAGGGGTATATTCACTGTCCCAGATCAGCAGCCGAGAAAGAATACCAGCGGTGAAGGGATAAAGAATTCCTGGAATACTGCAGTGAAGCCGAAATATTGAATGCAAATGCATTGAATGATAACGCTGTTTACCTAAAGTCAAGTCATCAGCCAACCTGCATGGCGTAGATATGAAAGAACAAACACCGTCGACAGTATCGGATTTCACGGATGCAGCAAACTCCAATACAAAGAGCAAGAAACATAAAGTACCGATACAAACTAAAGCCACGAAAATGATATCTGGGACTTGGAAAAAGAGAAGAAGAAAAACGCCGCTAATAGTTCATCACTGGGCCACCACCAGGTCCTCTGCCAGGTCCTCTCCCGTCCATCATGTTATCGTGACTGCCGGCGGCGACAGCATGGTCATCCAGGGACCTATACCTGGATGCGTAATTGTCTCTACCCCCTGGACCGCGGCCACGACCACGACCATGGCCACCTCTTCCACCTCGCCTACCTCTACCGCGGTTCCCACGGAACGGTGGTGGTGGTCCGTTATAATGGCGATTATTGTGGTTCTGGGGGGGCCTCCCACCTGAATATTCAGGGGCGGGTGGCCGATGCTGCTGCATATCGCGGTAATCCCGCGTAGATGTGTCTGCCTCATCACGAGTGTCTGACTGGAATCTTCTCTTGCCTCCGCGGCTTGCAGCGCCGTTCCGTGCTACATCCTCTTCCTGCACGCGCAGAATAGTCTTCTCACCGACTACCGTGTCGAATACTAGTGAATCATCCTTGGTAACTGGCGTCCAGTTACGGATCTTGTTGGCATCTGCTGGCCGTACGCCTTTGCGCATACCAAGAACGATGATGGGTTCTGGATTATCAGTGTGGATGACCACTGAACTATCGAGCGGGCTTACTCTTGCAGCCCATAGCTTGTGTTCAAAATGGCCTGTGTCTGTGAGACGCCAACGGACGACCTTCCCCAGTCCGCCAACCTTGTCACAGATGGGTTTGGGAGCAGACCGTGGCGTGATCAGGATACTGTTCGACATGAACTTGATTTCACTGGTGTCAGCAACGCTGGATGAGATTAGTGGAAGAAAGATGTTATCTATTATCCGAACAGCGTCGGCATTTGACAGGAGGTACCCTGTGTAGAATGTGGTCTTGGACAATTCAAGTCTGCCATAGGGCGACTTGGTGATGTTTGCACTTGGATTTCCCAGTGATCCATTGTGTGCGTTGATCATACGTTGGATCTCGGCTGCCTCGGTCACTGGAGACAAGTATTTGGCCATCTCCATTACTTGGATCACCTCAGCGGTGATGGGTTTTCGTGTAGCAGACGGACCGCCTGTCGCGGCATCTCTATTGAACTGCTCAAAATATTCACGGAAACCTTTGACACTGTTTGGTGTGAGTTTGGTTAAAGAAGAGGACTAACTTTTTTATTTCGGCTCAAGAGGGCTTCATCCGGCAACGCATGACTTACTGTTTTACACGGTCCTCGTAAACCCGGATTTCGTCAGCCTCCCTATACGTACGCATTAGGTCGTCTAGGAAGTTCTGCTTGAACTTCATAGTGGATGCAAAGCGTTGGTTGTTCGGGCCAACTTCTGGCTTCAAGCAGACCAGATCAAAGGCCAACTGTTTACTCTTGATCATGCGTCCGATAAGTTCGGCGAATCCGGCTTCAGACCTGCCTGTCAGAAGAACTGTAAGAGCATCTTTTTGTTTCATACTCAGTTGGACCAATTGTGCCTTTGGAGTATGGAGTCAGCTCGGTGGTTCACCACTTGGGTCGGTATGAAATATCAGTCACAGGTCGACGGGTATCATACTATCTGTTCATTCCACCATCCTGCCCAGGCGCGGGCTTCTTCGACCTCGACTCCATCACCTGTTGATCCAAGGATGTTCACGTCATGCCACCAGCCGCCCTTTGAAAAGCACTCGTACGATTGCAGGAAGCCTATTGTTGGCCCATTCCACAGCTGGGGGTTAGGTAGAGGGCTCAAAAATACTTTGATAGAGCAGTCAGCTAGCGCGTCTTCACGTCAGACAGCGTATCCAGGGTGTCTCCGTACGGGTGTTGTCAAAATCATAGACGTGAATGGTTTTGATATCCGGGATGGCTGCGAGTATGGAAACGGTTGACCGCGTTAGCTACTGCACTCTTCAACGTCCCACGATAAGGCACGTCTCAATCATGGCCTGCGTTCAGTTTGTGACACCCACAGGGAAGGACGCCTTCATTAAGGCACGACCATCGTTTCAGCGCGGTTGTCGAGTAGGTCGTCGACTTCTGGGAGTTGAACCGCGCCGGGCTGTTGGCTATAGCTGGCGCCATCTGGGCGTAAGCAGCTGCAAATCTCGGTGACCGGAGTGCTTTGAGCATAAGAGACCCTTGTCAGCCGTCTCGTGCAGTGTGTATCACGAACGAGTCGAGTCGAGCCGTCGAGATGCCTGAGATCTCATGCCGCCGCAGCTCGTTCGCTGACTTTCTTCTTCTTCTTCTTCTTCTTCTTCGCTTGCGAGAATCCAAGAAACTTCGAAAGTTTTTCCAAGTTGAAAAAAATCATTTTTGCTTTTTTTCCTCGTGACTTTTTTTGCAAAATGGATTATATAAGCAGAGCGTGATATTCACGTGACTCATGCCGAAAGAGGAAATTCCTGACCTCGACTTCATATTTTCTATGATTTACTGCATGATTTGCGCTTGAGATGCGTTCCAGATGGCCCAGGATGTCGAGGGGAGCCGGGATGTGCTGTGTAAGATGATAGCAGACGTCCATCGGGGCGACCAGGACAAGGAAGATGAATGCAAGCCGTGTGTAATTTGTTTGGATAAAATTGAAGAAATATGCATTGCAATTCCATGTAAACACTCCAACTTCGACCTACAGTGTCTTTTGATATGGCTGGGCCAACGCCCCGCTTGTCCCCTATGTAAGTACGATATTCTACTTTAATATTGACACATTTTTAATCATAGTCTACAGGCCAGGCGGCGGTGACCGGAGTGAAATATGATATACATGCCCCAGACGGCGAGAAGATAATTTGGATACCAACTTCTCCGCCCACGGCAAGCAAAGAAAATATCCATGGTCTTCGAAGCAGAAATAGACGCAGAAGCAGACAGCAAGTTTCTCGTTCTGGTAATGGAGACTTAGACTCTGCCCTGTTGCGCCGTCGGCATATATATCGGCATCAGCTGTATAGTCTACGGGTGGGCTCGAGCAGACGCACGGGTTACCGAGAAGTCACCCCTCGTATGATTGATCGAGATGAAAAACTGCTCTCTCGGGCTCGCAGGTGGATCCGGCGTGAGCTGCAGGTATTTACTTTCTTGAACCTACCGGAGAGTGAAAGGCAGGTTGACGGGGCTGTTCGAATCGGGAACCCAGAGTATCTGCTTGAATATATTGTTGCCGTCATACGCACGGTTGATATAAAGGGCAGTGCGGGACAGGCCGAGATGATGCTACGGGATTTTCTGGGCAGGGAATACGCATGTTTATTCCTACATGAGCTGCAGTCCTGGCTGAGAAGTCCGTTTGAGACACTCAGGGAGTGGGATGAAGCGGTTCAATACGACGAAAGCGGGATATCATGATACAATATGTACTATGTACTATGTATGAAACGCCAGAGCTGTGCTACTTATATACGGGATGATGCTTATGCCAGTCATTGCGTCGTTCAGGGTCATTATTTACGCCATTTCACCGCCTTCCGAACCGGCCACCTCCTTTCTGGCCGCCTCGGCTCCGAATCTTCAACGAGCGGTAATTGGCGTGGGCTTCCGCCTTGATCTTTCTCGGTTTCTTCTCCGCAGCGGTCTTGGATACAGACTTGACCGGCTTCCTTGGATTCTTTTCGTGGTTCTTGGGGATATATGCTTCATCACCATCTGGATCATCACTTGAGCCATCATCTTGTTCTACTGGAGGAGCACCCGTTTCAGCAGCGGCGAGTTCGTCCTCACTCTCTTCAACAAGAGATTCCCATAACGGTTGAGCAGCTGGTTTTGTACGAGATGGCTTGAGGCGAGAAAGCTTGGTTGTTCGTTTCTGGCCCTTCTTCTTATACGTCTTGTGCGTCTTTGATGGGGACTTGTGAACATCACCATCTCCATTATCCTCGTTGTTGACCTCCTGATCCTGATCTGAGAAGATCTGTGTCTCCTCAACACGGTCTTCAGACTGCTCATCGACGCCCTCTTTCTTCTCCGTGTTCTGCTCCTGCAACCGTCTCGCAAACGAACTGATTCCCTTCCCGAATAACTTCTGCGGCATACGCACCGCTACAGGGCCCGGACTATGCAGGGTCGGTACATTATTCTTCGCTCTGGGAGAGAATATGTTCTTCCGCCTTAAGAACGAAGGCGTTTCTGAAGTAAGACCCGCGCCGCCAGCAGCGTTATTATCCTCTTCTTCCTCGGGTATAGTCGTGCATCGGTTCGCGGTGGGTGTAGCGAAGAAGCTCGCCAAATAAAACTTGCGGGCCGATGATAGCGGTGTCGACGCGTATCTCAGTCTTCGTGCTGTTGCTGGTGTCCCTCTACTTGATGGTGTGCCGGGTACTTTCCCTTTCCTCGATGGGGTCTGGGCCACTCCGACACCGTTGCCATGAGCATTATCATTCACGACAGACTGCCTTGATGCCCTGGGCGTCTTCTGGGCAGGTGAACCAAGCAGGTCGAACAGACCCAACGCCTTCCCGTCTCTCTGCGGTGTAGGCCCAATAGCTTCGTAGAGAGGCAGTGGATCCCGTGCACCGTTCAAACAACGGATAGTCGAGGGCGAGTCATACGGGTCCAGTCGCGAAGGGTGTGCCTCTCCTACTCCTGTTGTCACGGATCTGCTGGGTGTGCATATCTTTGGCTTTGCGGTGGGTGAATCATCTTCGAACGGACAGTGTCGTTTCGCGCGCTTGGGTGTCTGCTGGTCTACTACAGCTGACTTGGCCTTTGCTTTCTCTTTCTCTTTCTCCTTATCTGTCTTCTGCGAGCCGTCTGATCGTAGGCGTGCGTATTCCTTGTACTTCTCAGCTGGTAGTTAATTAGCATTATGCTTCTCTGCTTGGTAGATAGCCAGTGGTGACCTACCGATTGCTCGGTTGTTCTTTATGTCCTCGCGTCCTGGCTTGCGGGAGTTCTGCAGCGTGAAGGTCTTCTCCCATTGCTTCAGCTCGGCCCGGAGAGAAGTAGCTGCATCTGCGCCTGCATCCATGCTCGTCTTATTTCCAAACGCTGTCCGTAGCCATCCAAGTTTACGTCTTCCTATCTGTTGATTCTCCCGCGTAAATAGGAAAACGGGAAAGTCGCGGTTCACGCATACGCTTAGTCATCAACCGCGAAATAGTCACCAGCCAATCGGAAACGAGATATTTCTTTTACAAACTTAATGATTATCAAAAAGTCAGGAGTGATAGAGAACGGTCAAAATTCAGAGATATAAGACATAAGGCGTTAATTCTATTGGTATTTTGAGGCATGTATCGATTCACAGATGGCAACAGTAGAGTAAGCAGATGACCGTGGGTTGGGTTTATTGTTGTACATAAGGAAACGACATGATGATATGGTGTAAAATGAGTATGGAAACAAACATATGAAAATGGAATATGATGGGTTCGGCCAAGATGAAAATTTACAGTATGGTCGGGAGTGATGATGATGGTAAAGGGGTTAGGGTGGGTTGTTGTTGGTCGGTGGTTGTCTAGCAGAGGAGCATGCGGCGGGGGTCCTCAATGTACTCCTTGACCTTGACGAGGAAGGTGACTGCTTCCCGGCCGTCGAGCAGTCTGTGGTCATAGGTGAGGGCGAGATACATCATCTATGGCTGTTAGTAAGGTGATATGTTGGTATAGGGGGGTAAGTGGCTAGCTTACTGGTCTGATCTCGATCTTGCCGTTGACTACGACAGGCTTGTCCTTGATGGCGTGTAGGCCGAGAACACCGGTCTGGGGAAGGTTGATGATGGGGGTGCCCATGAGCGAGCCAAAGACGCCGCCCTGGATAAGTTAGTAGAGAACATAGGCTAGTGTTTAGAGGAGACTTACGTTGCTGATGGTGAAGGTGCCGCCGGCCATATCCTCGATGGTGAGCTTGTTGTCGCGGGCCTATACAGGTTAGTTGCTGCATAAACTAAAAATAAGTTAAGGAGGTCTACCTTCTTGCCGAGATCAGCAATGGACTGCTCGATCTCAACGAGACCCATGGTCTCAACGTTGCGCACAACAGGAGTAACAAGGCCCTTCTCCGTGGCCACGGCAACACTGATATCGACGTAATCGCGGTAGACGATAGTGTCACCACCGTTGGGGCCCTCAATCGAGGCATTGACGGCGGGAACATCCTTCATGGCGAGCACGCAGGCACGGGAGAAGGCAGACATGAAACCGAGCTTGACGCCGGTCTTCTTGAGCACGTCGTCCTTGTAGAGCTTGCGGAATTCCATAAGTGAGGACATGTCGACTTCGTTAAAGGTGGTGAGGGAGGCAGCTGTGTTCTGGGACTGTTTCAGGCGTTCGGCGATACGTAGGCGCATACGGTTCATTTTTACCTACACAAGTTAGAACAGGCGGACTGAATTTAGATGCCAGATTAGAGAGTTAACCTACCCTGCGCTCTTCTCTGCTGCCAGGGGTGGATTTGGCAGCTTCTTCGGGAGCAGGAGCCTTCTTCTCCTGCTTTGGAGCTGGGGCTGGAGCAGCCTCCTTCTTTGGCTGTTCCTTGGGCTGCTCCTTGGACTCTTCCTTGGGAGCAGGGGCGGCAGTCTCCTGCTTGGGCTCAGCAGGCTTGCTCTCCTCAGCAGCAGGAGCAGCGGCGGCAGGCTTCTCCTTGGCGCCCTCTGGAGCAGCACCGAGCTCGAGACGGACGAGGTCCTGGCCGACGGTGACGGTGTCTTCCTCTGCGGCGAGGAATTCCTTGATGGTGCCGGACTCGGTGGCATTGACGGTCACGTCGATCTAATCACGTTAGCAATAATCACACTGCCTTGGAATGCTCGATATACACACCTTGTCGGTTTCAATGGTAGCAATCTCCTCGTCCTGTTCGACATAGTCACCGATCTCTGTAGACGTGAGTTAGCAATAACTAGAGTAGTAATACAGAGCAATGCAGCAAAGTCATAGACCCACCCTTGGAGAACTGCTTGAGGGTACCCTCTGAGATGGACTCGGCCATCTGTGGAACCTTGACAATTGCATCGGCTAAGGGTCATCTGTCAGTCAGCTTCCGATTTATTTCGCCTTGCTGTTATAATGTGGACGGAGTATGATGTACCGTAGGTGCGTATCTGGCCGATGGATCGAGGCACGACGTATCTACCACAACACAGAAAGTCAGGAGAGCTATAGAAACAGGGAATAGAGGAATCAGCTTACTGCGACTTGAAGGAGTCCAGACGGGAGAGCGAGGACGAGACGAGCGGTGTCTGTCTTGACGCCGTGCGCAGTGACGAGAAGCAGCGGCAGGTCTGCGGCCGGACGAGCGCAGGCGTCTGGCGCAGGACAGCACCGGACAATTGGGATATTCTCCTCGAAGCCATGGCGGAATTAAGTATTACTCTGGTGGCCTACTGGCGTAGATGTAGAGGTCGAAGTAGAGAGGTAGAGTGAGGTAAAGAGAAGTGTTTTTTTTGCTTGTCTTGCTTTTGCTGCAGGGCCGGCGATGTTTTATGTTTTGGGCTCCGTCGACGATGCGGACGAAACCGGAATATCCATGTTCCAGCGACGAAGTCAACCTCACGACCTGCATCGCAAGACGAAGAGAAGACGAAGACTTTACAGAAGCCATTGACATTACTGCTGCAGCCATGGCCCGCCACCCAGCCTTGTAAGTCCTGCTGATACCATTGAAGAGAAAAAAAAGAGAGATACTGACTGAGGGCAGAGTCCTGTACAAACGCGCGCTGAAGCTGTCGCTTGACTGGGCCGTCCACCGCAACCTCTGGCGCGGCCAGGCCGTCTACATCCGCTCGCTCTTCGAGGCCAACAAGCATGTCCGGAATCCTCACGACCAGCGGGTGCGTTATATCTTTACTCTTTACTCTTTACCCGTTGTTTGGTGGTGGTGGTGGTGATGGTGGACTAACAGGCGTAGGTCCTGCTGCAAGAAACAGAGAAACTGCTGGAGAAGTGGAAGCATCCCGACCCTTACCGGGCGCCAACAGCCCCAGGAGGTGAATCTAGTCGTCTGTTACTCTACTATCATCATACTAACTATTTTATAGGATCCAAGTGGGAGAGAAACCTGCCTGTTCCCGTGCTGAACGGTGCGTATATTTATATTTATATATCTCTGCATCCAGGAGTGTCACCTACTAACTTTCGCAGAGCCACAACCGCAGCATCTAGCCAAGGTCGAAAACTAATAGAATGTATATTTACTCTTACTTCTACTTCCTTTTTTATTTTTACGTAGAATTACTGAAGACAATTGAAGTAAGAGAAAGATAATGTATTATACACCATCATCATTGCACTGAGTAGTAGCAGTAAAGGTTAAAAGGGTAAAGTAACCACGTAGACCATCCTATCCCACCCCGAACGGAACCATGCGCCGGTAACATAAAGTAAGAAAGTAAAAAAGAGAAAAGGACAAAGACAATTTACATCTCCTGGGAGCCGCCCTTGACGCTGGCGACCTTGGGAGTGGTCTTTGGCAGCAGGTTGGGGTGGATGTATGGCATAACACCACCCTGGGCGATGATAACGTGGCCGAGCAGCTTGTTGAGTTCCTCGTCGTTGCGGATGGCGAGCTCAAGGTGGCGGGGGATGATACGGGTCTTCTTGTTGTCACGGGCTGCGTTGCCAGCAAGCTCGAGCACTTCAGCAGCGAGGTACTCCAGGACGGCAGCGAGGTAGACAGGGGCGACTACAGGTCTTATTAGCAAGGACTGTTTGATATATATATATCAGAGTAGAATGGTTGTCTTACCAGCACCGACACGCTGAGCGTAGTTGCCCTTGCGGAGGAGACGGTGGACACGACCGACTGGGAATGCGAGGCCGGCCTTGGAGGAGCGACTAGAAGCCAGTCAGAGAGATGAAGCCGTAGAAGAGAGCAGGATATAGCGAGAGAGGCCAACGTACGACTGAGAGGTCTTTGCGCCAGAGGCCTTTCCGCCAGACTTGCCGCCAGTCATTTTGATAGAGGTTGAAGATGAAGTTGAAGAGGTGAAGAAGAAGAGTGACTTGAGTAGCTGAGCTGAGCTGTAGCTGGCAGAAGGCTGTAGATGTCGTTGTTGTCGTGAAGATGAAGATGAAGAAGACGAAGAAGAGACGAAGGAGAAAGAGAAGGAGAATCGCTTTATAAGAACAAAAACAGCGCGCGAGATCAACTTTTTTCGCCCCTCCAGATCAATAATACCGGTACCGTCACTTACGCCGCGTTGTCTTAGTCAGCCCTGCCCTTCGCCCGCCAACGCCTAACTTAATCATACAGATCATACGCAGGCGTTACGCGTACTGAAATTCTCGCTCGATCACGCAAAAAAGATCACGCCGACGCCGTCTCGCCCGCTTTATAAAGCTCGCCCTCGCTCTCTTTCTCTCTCCAACTACAACTACAACAACCAGCAACACAGCCAACTTCTGCACTCGACTCTCGTCTTCTATCCAGCTTCATCTTACTCTTCTACTTTTACTCTTCTACTTACTCTTCTCTTCTACTTCATAATGGCACCAAAAGCTGCTGAGAAGAAGCCCTCGACCGGCGGCAAGGCCCCGGCTGGCAAAGCTCCCGCTGAGAAGAAGGAGGCCGGCAAGAAGAAGCGCACCAAGGCCAGAAAGGAGACCTACTCCTCCTACATCTTCAAGGGTGCGTCTTGGACTTTGGTTCTTATTTGTTTCTTATGCTCTGTCGACGCGTCTTACTGACATTGGATATGTATAGTGCTCAAGCAAGTCCACCCTGACACTGGTATCTCCAAGCGCGCCATGTCCACCCTCAACTCCTTCGTCAATGGTAGGCAGACTCTTATATACTCCAGCTTATCCTTCTCATGATCACCGCTAATCAGAGTAGACATCTTCGAGCGCGTTGCTACCGAAGCCTCCAAGCTCGCTGCCTACAACAAGAAATCCACCATCTCCACCAGAGAGATTCAGACCTCCGTCCGTCTCATCCTGCCCGGTGAACTGGCCAAGCACGCTGTCTCTGAGGGCACCAAGGCCGTCACCAAGTACTCTTCCTCTGCCCGATAAACGCCATTCTTGTATCATCTTTTTCTTCTCTTCTCTCTTTTATGTCATGGTCGAGGTGGGATGGGTGTTTCGTGGGCTTGTCTTTTTACTACCTGTTACTTCTCTTTTTTTACTGATACTGTTACTTTACTCATGGGATCCGGATGGTCGTGTCTTATTTCTTAACGTCGGGCGAGCCGCTTGATGCTTGATAGTGCTATGTTAATGTCATCATTGCCTGTCCATGTCTATACCCCCAGTATAATCACGATCACGGTCAAGATCAAGATCAAGATTCTATTACTCGTAGATGAAGATCAAGATAAAAAAGTGGTACAATAGATGGAAGTCATATCTCGTCAAATGATTCTACCTCCTCTTCGGCACCTTCGCGTTCGGTCTCCTTGATGGTCGGATCGCGGTCAAATACATGGATGATCTTCCCCCTTGAGCTTCCCTCTCTCACCCGCTGCTTCAGGTCCTCCCAGTCGTCTTCGTCACGCACCAAAAAGCCGATCAGCATGCTCGGATCCATCTCGCGGACGTGCAACCGTCGAAGGCGCCGCGTGTGGTACGTCGACAGCTCTTCGGGGCTGTACGGATGGCTCTCCTCGTCCCCGGTCGACTCGGCGCGTGGAGTCAGGCAGGGTCGCGTCTGGTGCGGGTCGAGGTAGAAGAAGCTGTCTCCCTGCGTCGCGATAAAGTAGTGCGACGACGACGGCCGGCCACTACCAACACTCGTCAGCATATATATATTATAAATATATAAATATATTGAATAAGGATAACTCACCCTGCGATGCCGACGGATTGGGGAAAGCGGAGGAGAGCCTTGAGAGAGTCCCAGTAGACGGGAGTAACGCGGTCGATGCCCAGTCTGACTCCCAGCAGGATCAGGGTAGGCTGGATGCCACCGCCGCTCTCGTCGCAGGCAACCTCCTTGAACTGCTTCTCGTAGATGTCCGACCCGTCACTGGTGATGCACACCCTCAGCCCGACCTGCGGGTTACTCTTCACCAGCGCCTGGATGCACTGCGACGCAGCAGAGGGGCCAAACCACTCGCCGGGACACTTGCCGCATGCCGTTGCTCCGTGGTGCACAAACCGGTGGATCGAGAAGGGAGCCCGTGGGTGGTCGGCAAACAACGACACCAGCTCGCTCTCTTCCTGCACTTTGCTTCCCCGTCGCCAGTCTACCCTTATTAGCTTACATCCTGTTATATATATATTTATATATATATAAAGAAGAGAACATACCACGTCCGAGTCGGAGGAAGAGAAGAGTGTTGGCCAGCAGAGCCTGGCCTGACCGGATCATGCAGCCCCAGCCGGTATCTGATGTGAAGCCCTGGGTGTCGATGAGCTGGCTGCGCAGACGCACACCCAGGGAAATAGAAGAAGAAGAGTCTCCGCTGCCGGTCTTGGGAGTCTTGGGTATGGGCGGGAACTGGGATCTGTATGTTATCCACAGCTTCGACTCAAAGTCATCTAGGAACTGCGGAGGCCAGGCCGGCGTCACGCTGCTCTCTGCCGTAGAAGAAGAGGATATCGGCGAGGCCAGGTTGACGAACGAGGAGATGGCTGACCCGGGCGTCGGTGGTCCGTCCGTCGATGTTCGTTTCTCTTTCTCCGTGGTGTCTGTAGTTGTAGTTGTAGTTGTAGTTGTAGATGCAGTGGTCTTCGGTGTTGATGTCAACGTTGTTGGCTCTCTGTCTCTGTTTGTAGTGTCTGCCGGCTCTCCGGACGACTGCGCAGGACCCGGAGTCTCTGCCTGCCGGTACTCGCAGCCCAGACACCAGATGGGCTGCCCGCTGTCATCGTTCTTCGGTTCTGGGTCCCAGAAGAACTGGATGATCTTCTTGTACTGGTTGCCCAGGTCGACGTTGTTCATCTTCAGCCGCCGCTGCGTCAGTATATTATAGCCTGTAGGAAGCATCTTAAGGTCGCTCAAGCTCACTGTATCTGTATAAGGTATTCTCTCTGGAGATATAGAAGCTGTAGGAGGGCTGGGTTGGTATAGATATAGGCTGCTCAGAGGCCGGGCAGTCATCAGCCAGCCGGTCAAGAGAGAGGCCAGCTGCCGCGAGACATGGGCTGCCTTTTAAGCAAGGGAGCAGCGGGAGCAGCAAACGGCCATCAACGTGAATGCCAGCAGTGAAGCAAAGAAGCCGGAGTCTCTACCATCAGCTGGAGTCTTAAGGAAGTCTTCAAATGAAGTCCTAAGGAAGTCCTAAGTGAAGTCTTGAAGTCTTGAAGTTGGTCTTTGGCCGCGTGAACCAAGCAAAAGCAATAAACATCCATGGATGCATCGACATCATAGTTAGTGAGGGAAGATAAGAAAATAGCCGCAAGTGGGGATGTTTGCTTCTTTTGTCTTTTCTGGCTTTTGACTTTCCATCACTCTCTGAAGAGATATCAAAAGGACATTCAGGATAGACAGAAAAGAAACAAACAAAAGACAGCCAGAGAAGAGAAGAGAAGAGAGCAGACAAGTGTTTGCTACAGGATGCCAGGCAAGCGGCGGCACAGAGGTCGCAGAGGTGAGTCTGGATGCTGGCAGAGAGAAGGCTGGCTGGCTGGACTGACTTGACTGAACTGACTGGTTGACTCACTGCAGGCATCGGAAGGGCCTTTGACAGAGGTGAGAGAGACATTCACAAGTGATGGAAGATGCAGGCAGGCAGGCAGGCAGGCAGGCAGCTAATGAAGGATGGCAGACACAGTGGAAGAGCACTACCAGTTCACTCTCAGCCAGGAGGCCCTCAATACTGAACGCCACTCCTTCGAGCGCAGCAGTCGACAGCTCCGCTACCAGACAGTCCAGTTCGTCAGCGGAGGCCAGAAGGAGCCAAATGACCCTGCTGTCCTCAGGAATCTCGATAACCTCGTGCTCGACCGGGATACTACTAAAGAAGATAATAAAGAGGATACTCGGGGTGAAGATGTCGAAGTTGAAGCAGTGGTCGAGGTTGAGCAGGTAGAAGCCGACAAGCAGGAGAATAAAAAGCCAGAAAAAGAGAATCAAAAGGCAGGAAAAGAAGAGAGAGAAGAGAAAGAGAATCAAAAGCCAGAGTCCAGAGAGAAAGAAGAAGAAGACCTCTATGTCATCGATACAGAAGGAGACAAGACGGTGAAGCCTACGCTGCCCAACCCCGTCATCAACTGCGATTCCTCGGATTCCAGCGCAGACGAGGTCGTCTTCACCGGCAGAGTCCCCCTCTGGAGACGACAGGTCCGCTCAAGAGTCGTCAACGATCCTCCTCCAGCAGCATCGTCTACAGCCCAAAGGACACCGCCAAAACGCAGCCATGATGCAGTCGACCGCAGAGATACGGGATTCCGAGGATGGTCCGGCACCAGCAGGCGCAGAATGTCTCCTCGCAGGGTTGTCCTCGAGTTTGGCAACGACTCCGCAGACTCAGACGCCGTGGCAGACTACCTGGCCAACCTCATCGGCGACGACAGCTCAGACAGCTCTGATGGATGGTCCGACGACGAACAGCCGGGTAAAGCCGTCACTCCCAAGACTCCCGGCATGTCTGGTCCAGACGACGTAGACGAAGAAGAGGAAGGCAGCAGTTCCGGCGATGATGATGATGATGATGATGATGAAGACGATGAAGACATCGACATCGACTCGGACATGCAGTGGATGTCTGACGAACAGCTCGCCCACCTCCTCGACACAGGCGACATCCCCGACATGGACGCAGACGAGATCGACTTCTTCACCACCCACGGATTCGCCAGGTCAGGCGCCGCAGCAGCATCCGGCAGAAACAAGAAGAACAAGAAGAAAGACAAGCGGAAGAACGCCTCGCTGCGTGAACCCATCTCCGCGTCAAAGCTCGCTGACATGTTCGAGGAAGATCCCTACGGCGCTTTCGATATCATGGATTACAACCGCACCAGTCTCATGGGCAAGAAGGCCCGAGGCAAGATGCCCGACTTCGACCTCTCGGACAGCGAGCTCGAGTCCAACATCCACGCCTCGTGGGAGAACGACCGGCGCAAGAAGAAGGCGAAGAAGCTGGAACGCGAGGAGCTGCGTGCCCAGGGCCTGCTGGGCAAGTCCGGCAAGGCTCGTCCGCGAGGTAATACGCCAGACGACATTCGCGATGAAATCCGCTCTTTCATGATGTCCCGCACCCAGACGTATGTCTCTACCTTATTCTCCTCTATTTCTCTCTCTGTTTTGATGCTAACTACATTAACAGCCTCCAACTTCCTCCCATGGCCAAGAAAGACCGTAAGCTCGTCCACGAAATGGCCAACGCACTCTCCCTCAAATCCATCTCCCGCGGCAAGGGATACGACCGCTTCCCCATCCTCACCAAAACCCGCGGCACGCCCACCTTCCACCCAGACGAGGTCCACGAGCTCGAAGCCCTCTTCTCCCGCAGAAAAATCACTCGATACTCTGACAGGCGTCGCGCGGGCCCATCCGGTGGTGCTCGCTCAGGTAGAGCCCGCGGCGAGACTCGCGCTGCCTCGTACATGGACGGAGACGTCGTGGGTGCCTCTGCGCCTGAGATCGGAGCTGATAACCGTGGCCGCGCCATGTTGGAGAAGATGGGCTGGAACACGGGGATGTCGCTTGGTGCCGCGGATAACAAGGGCATCCTCCAGCCTGTCATCCACATCGTCAAGACCTCCAAGGCGGGACTAGGCTAGGCATTTTTACACCCTCACTTCGACTGGTAGTCGTTTCTCTCTGGTGACTGGCGTATTCGGGACTCTCTTTTATGTGGTTTTTCTTTTCTTTTCTTTTTCTTTAATGCAGGCTGTTGTTTGATAGGGTTGATCGGGTTTGGCGTCGGAGATACATAAAAATAACCCCAGATGTAATAGAGGCCGGCTGGTTGTGGTAGCTGTCGATATTCACCCAAAAAACATACATAATCAATTCAACGCGGTTACAGTTGATTTCACCTTGTAATAGTTGTACTTTCATTCTCTATCTGTGTCGTCGTAGGCATGCAATAAACATGCATTATATCTGTCAGTATACGTGTTATTGGTCAGTCACGGCTTCACTATATCAATATACGTCCACGACAACACATGTATGAATACTGCTATTTCACTTGGATATCACTATTTTTATGCTTGAATATGAATATTTCCATCTTATATAGTCCATATATCTACTTATACGTATATCTTACTTATCCGAGCCGTCGATGCAGTTGTGTTCAATATATCAATTTGTATGTTTTCTGTCAAAAAATAAAAAAATCAACTTTTGAAATAAAAATATCCAAAATCACACGAAAACCGATGAAAACCGCAACACCATCACCACCAGGCCATATTGCACGCGAAAACCTGTCTCATTCCTTCTAAACAACTGCACTCTACATTCTAGATCATATATATCTACATAGTTCGCGGGGTTGGTGGATGCCGACGCTGTTTTGCCCGAAATCAGAGCAGGGACGACAGGTAAACAAAACCACACCCCTCAAGTATACGCGGTCCACGGGGGAAAATATACAAACTACAGCAGTCTATAGGTTATCAACACCGTAGGAGATGATTTAAACGGTTATCTGGTCATGTTGAACATAGGATGTCGGCGTTGCGATACTTCCAACTGTAGCCGTACGCGTTGATAGCTACGTGCAATACCCCTGGATGCATGCTCACAAGGTGCCTAACTACACTGCGATATAAACACGATATCTACGTCTACTCCGCCAATAGTTTAAACCAAGAGATAACAGTCATTGTCTAATTTAGTCGCTGCGTAACATAGATATATACGTCAAGTCATCAAACATGATTATAGCCACTAGAAAAGGAGTATATAATCATAGTCATAGAAGAGAAGAATCACCTCTTCTTCTTCTTCGCTGCCTGCTGCTGCTTCTGGCTTACGGGGGCCTGAGCATGGCCCTCTTCCCTCAGATGAGTGAACAGCTTACTCCTGGACGTAAAAGACGCCCGGCAGACGGCGCAGACAAACTGCTCTGCTCCCAACGCCTGGGCAGCAGCGGCCTTCTTGGCGCGTTTCTGCTTGGCCTTGCCTGGCTTCTTGGCCGGGAGGACGATTTCTTCTTCCTCGTCCTCGTCCTCGTCCTCGTCCTGGGCTTCAGCTTGGCCGGTGGAGAGCGAGGATAGTTTTTCTGTAATGGGATCTATGCCCTGGCCGTCACCAAGGACATGTTTTCGGATCTCCTCCTCGTCTACCTCGTCGCCGTCTAGATCGTCTGTACCTTGACCCACAGGGGGATGTGGTTGATCGGCCCTAGCCTCCGACGATGGCTCAGGGGATTCACTTCTGTCCGAAGAATAGTCAGCAGGGTCAGCGTTGCTTAGTTCCTGTTTTGATGCTGGGGTTTGGGTCCCCGTCAGCTCAGGTTCATTATTATTCTCATGCTCGTGCCCATGATTGGAATCAGACATTGGCTCCATCTCCCCGGGCTCCACCGCGTCCAGGTTGAGGTGCTTATCTTCCAGCTTCATCTCACGCTGCAGCTGCTTGACTGCCTTGACGTGCTTCTTGCTCCGTTCATGGGCCTCGAACTGCTTCTCGCTCTTGAAATTCTTGTTACATATCACGCACTCAAAGTGGTTCTGCTCAGACTCGGTCTCGCTCGGGAATAGCTCCTCTTCAGCTTCTGTCGACTGAGCCCACTCAGGGAGTGTAAAGTCCCGCAGTTTAGCCTCATTAGCCCGACGGGAACGGGCAGCTTGGGCGGCCGCGGACTCACGGAGGATCCGTTGGCGGTCCGCCTCGCTCTGGACGGTAGCCTTGTAGCGGGGGTCTCGTTTGCGTACAAATGCAACCAGCGAGCGGACGGCGTCGTTGAAATCCCTAATACCATCCTCGCGTAGACGACGGTTTTCCTTCTCCATCAACCGTCGTACACGGCGGTCAGGCGCCTCAGAGTACTTGTACACGTCCTTCCACGCGTAGGACTTTCTCGTGGCGAAACTGCTCCAGGCAGCGTAGAACCTGCGCACGGAGTCAGGGGCATCATCTTTACGGCCAAAAGAGGGGTAGTGGATGGGTTCTAGATCGTCCAGCCGGCATGCTACAAGCTCTTCGCTGGCCAGCCGGCTGAAGGTATCATTGAGGCCCCCAAAGAAGCCAGTGGGCGCGTCCGAAAACTCCATGCGAGGATTGAACTTCATGATTAGCGACATGACATCGGCGGCCGCCGTAAACCGCGAGTTTTCTGGCCCCTGCACGCCCGCATCACCACCGGTGCCGCCTGCATCCTTATGCGAGTCATACCAGGCGCGTTCTTGGGGATCTGAAAGGATCTCATACGCCGACTGCACCTCCGCAAAGAGTGCTGTCGCCTCCTCGACGTTTCCATAGTTCTTGTCCGGGTGTAGCTCGAGTGCTTTTCGTCGATATGCTTTCTTTATCCTAGACCAAGCAATAATAGTAATAGCAATAATAGTTAGCCAAAACTAAACCACAACATGAAGGAGGCCCAGATAAATAGTCACAAGTCTGCGACTAGCTGAAATAGGAAAATGCATACTCTTCAGCTGTGGCATCCCGTTCCACCCCTAAGATTGCGTAAAAGTCTCTCTCGAAAGCATCGTGAGCTTCATCTGCGGCACCCTGACGGGAGGAGGACTGGCCCTGACCCATCAGTAGCAAAAAAAGGTTGATTCCAAAAAAAAAAAAAAAACAACCACCCCTTTTTTCTTTTCGTGGCGGGGGTGTTTGGTTATCGTGATATCATCCGCCACCACTAGCGCGCGAGATGAATCTACTCGTCCACCGATATCGAGCGCCGCGCGCGTGTGTCTTGCTGTTGTCTCTCTTTTTTTTCTGATTTCTCAGAATTTCCTTCGATATAAAATTTTTTGGAGCGGGAAGAGCATCACGTGACGAGTCGCGACTTTCTCGAGGGCGTACGGGAAAGACGACGAAGAAGAAGACGACCAAGACGAAGGAGGCGAACGGAGAGGATGGCGATTCGAACTGCATGTGGCAGCAGTCAGCGTTGAAGATGGCAAGCTCCGTAAAAGCAAAAAAGGAGGCAGGAGGAAAAAAGCAACCTGTAAGTAGCCAAATCGTACGTGTTAGAAGCGGTTTTTGATCGAGCAGCCGAGCGCAGAGGGAGAGCCCAGGAGAGACGGGAAGAAAAAGCACTGAAAATCCTCACGAGACGCGGAGTTGGCAACTGGCCTGGCCTGCTCTGAACCTCGAGCTTCGTCGCAGCGCTCTGACGGCCTCTGCTCAGGATGCTCCCGTGGTGCGGGCGCAGGACGCTGCCATTGGCGCCGGGGAAAGCTGGAGGCCCGCTGCTGCAGGTTAGCCGTTCAACCTTTTTTCGTGGAGCCAACAATTGGTTCGTGCATATAACTATTGATTACATCGGAGCGATGGAGATGAGGCATCAGTTATCGCTGGCGGGAGGGAGGCATCGGGGTATTAAAGGGGGTGGTGAGGTCGGGAGGGAGGGCGAGGTGAGGTTGGAAGTGAGAGAGATGAAATATAGGGGTAACTAAAGCTTGGGATATAAACTCATAACCTTACTTCACTACTTCACTACTACCTAGTTCCATACCAGCATATTGACAACTGGGCCAGGCAGCGATGACATCTCTCCAGCACAACAGCATCATGCAGCAGACGAATGCCTGGAGACGGGCGGGCGCGCCTCTGCTGGGCTGCAACGAGGGCGATGTTTGCGACGAAGAGACGAGACGGGACGTGGACCTGATGATCCTCGACTACATCGTCTGCGCAGCCCTCACATCCATCCTGCACGAGCGCATCGCGGACAGACAGGGCGCAGAGCAGCAGCAGGAGGGCACCCACGGCTGTGACAGGTGGCTTGAGATAGCAGAGGGTGAGTCTAGTTTCAAACAGGTCATATATCTACTTGGGTTTCAAAGCTGACCGTGGTGTAACTAGCTACGTTGCACCTGTTCAAGACGAACAACCCCGGAGAAACGCTCTCGGACGACATCAAATTCAAGATAAAGACACTCAACTTCTCAAACCTCTTCTTCAGACGGTTCAAGCGGACGGCTTACCTGCCGTCTCGCGCGGCTCTGGCTGCTCAACGCAAGAAAAGCCGTGAGAGGGCCAGACGATGGCTCGAGGAGAACAGCTTCCAGGAGACTACTCCTGCAGAGGAGCTGGATCGGGCATTTGAACATGTCCAACCCATATCAGCCTCGCAGATAGATGAGAATCGGCGGACGTTGCTTGACCATATGGCTGTCAAGGAGACGGAGGACTACCAGTTTGACATTGAAGCGTCTGTCACGCTGTGTGATATCCTGCCGGAGCTGATGGAGCTCTGCGACTCAGCCCCTGAATCCGTCAGTGATGATATCTGCACCGTTGCTGTCTTGTTTATGCTACATGCTGCTATAGAGCAGGGCTTACTATATGGTCGGGTGGGGAGGGAGGTCCTCGACGAGACATTCGCATGGGGGAACCAAGATGATGACCACAGCTGGGCGGAGACAAGGGATCGGCATCGGCTATCTCTTTGTCCGAATGTTGACGATGCCGCCGAGGGCAATGATGATGATGATGATGATGGTGATGCGGATGAAGACTATGGCGAGCAGTTGAAAAGGATCATCTACGAGAACCCCCCGTTCGAGTTTGAAGGAGAGGTCCTGAACTTGATAAAGACGTTGCAGCAGACCTGGGATGCACCAATCCTTAACCAGCTGGAGCAAGGCAAATTATATTCATTAGGCGAGGATGAAGTCGCGGCTTTCAAGCGACGGGTGGTATTCAATGATTTCGGGAGTTAGCTCAACAAAAAAAAAAAAAAAAAAAAAATAAAGAATAGGGTAGACCCCGAAACAAGGAGCGAGCGTGGAACGGGGAAAAAGCTGCAGAATGAGCAAAGATAATAATAAGAATTATACAGAGAGGAGAGTGTGGTATGGTATGGTAGAAATATCAACGCCCCTTTCGTTCCCAAATTCATGTCCCAAAAGAATAAAGAACCACAAGCAAGCAAGCAATCCGTAGCCCGGAAGTAAACATGCCCAAACCCAGAGCACTAAATGATAATAAGGAGAGATCATAAGCTGTCGTTTCTTCGTTAACGTTTCGTTTTTCGATAATGTTTTTGTAGTTTTGATGCGTTTTATTCCTTTTTTTTCTTTTTTTCTTTTTTATTCTTTCTCTCTCTCTTTCTTTTTTTTTTTTTTTTTTTTTGATATTGAAAAGAAGCCGATGCAAGCGGGATGATATTGAGCTGACTAGTCGTCGGGGTATTCATCACGGATGTTGCTCACGAAGCGGCGGGTTTCAATGTCCCATCGCTTAAAGAATTTGCCGGCAAAGCTGAAGAAAGCATCCGGCACTTCGGAAGCCTCGAGCTCGCATATTTCGATGTTTTCTTCCGCGACATAGCGGACGCTTTTATCTTCCACCCTAGAAGTCGTTAGTATTGTTTTCGCATTTTTTTCAGGGGAAAAAATAGATATGAAAAGCTTACAAGACGTGGTAGAAAGACTGATGGCGTCCGGCATGGAGACGGTCCACTCCCATGCGCTCCATCCACTGCTCGCCAGCACCACACTCAGGGTCCCAGCCGGTAATTAGGCCGATGTACTCATACCGTTTGTGACGGAAGAGCTGGCCGACCTTGTACTTGACGTTGCCGTTGGCTGAGCTCCTTCGCCGGACCTGCTTTGGTATCTCGTCACTAGCTTTCATCACGCTGACGCTCTCGCGTAGATGCTCATATTCAGGCAAACTCTGGAACAGCGGAATCAGATACTGCTCGATGAGATACACGTCCGCTGGGAAATCCGTAGCAAAGTGCTCCATCAGCGATGGCAGGTGGCGGCGTAGAGGCAGATGTTCGGCTCGTCGGCGCTCAGGGCCCTGGGGGATGTTCTGTCGATCGGGATTTGCGTATTTGGCAAAGAGCATGGATGCCCAAAGGGCAGCATACTTGACATTAACAATGTCAAGTGACGTCTGACGGAAATGTGGTGTTTGCAGGACGGAGTTGAGGATGTTCTTGCCGCATCGAAGCACGATCTCAGCGGTGAATGACTCGCGAAGGAATGTTGACTGCGACAAGGTGAGGGCTCCAAGGAAGTTCAGCTGGCTCTGTAGCTCGGATACGGGAGTCTCGCTGGTCGAGCGGAAGGGGTCCATGTACATGAAGTCGCCCTCTTCCCCGTCTGGCAGCCGATTGCCAGCAAGGTCGTGATTGGGCTCTGGGCGGATGATAACGTGAACGTGGAAGGGGAAGCCACAGGGATGGGCATCGAGGCCGAGTCTCTGAGCAACGTAGCAGTATATAGCCGCCGAGATCAGAGGCAGTGAATTGTGCCGTTCGCTGGTCAGAGCAGCACCCAGGAAGTTGTGCTCAATGTTGTAAAACTCCCTGCCAGACTCGATCCCAGTGAGATTGTTTTCTCGGAGGTACTCTGCTGTCATTATGGCTCGCTCTCGGGGCGTGTACTCGAGGATATTAGGGTACTGGCGTTTCATCCGTCCAACTATGTTGTCCAAGCTCCGTGATATCTACTCCTGTTAGCTCGTCCTGTAGAAGATAGTTATTGTATACTGATGAACGTACGTCGTCAAAGTCTCCGGTGCCAGAGTCGAGGATGAACATGTCAAAAGCTCCCAGAGCGTGTTCGAGAGACACGTCCTCGCCGTTCCTGAGCCTGTTCCAGGTGGGAATGGCCAGCGTTCGATGCAGACAGCCGAGTATAGCATTGCTGTAGTATCTATATCCCCGTTCGTTAGTCTTGATATTATCCCATAGGTAGGAGGGTCAACCTATAGACCACGTACCTCCTAGCCAAGTAGTCTTCAAGGTCCTGAGGAGCATCAGCGTGCCTGATCAGCGTATCCTTCGCATCATAGCCAAAGCTGACGATGCGGTGAATCTTCTCTATGCGTCCTGTCTGGCTGGCGAGGATGCTGTCCAGTATCTCCGTTGTCGCGCGGTCGATCTGATGCCTCAGCTTGTACAATTCTTTCCACTGCACGCTCTTTGCCGGCCTGGCAAACTTGTCGGTGATGTCATGACGCTTATCCCAGAAGCGAAACGAGGCTTTGCAGTAGCCGGCCCATAGCAGGGGGGCGTTGGTGATGTGTGAGAAGCGCTTGGAGGTCTGCTCGAGGGCGATGGCGGCGGACGGCGGCGTGTAGGTGAGGATGCTGTGCAGGATTTCGTCTGGGAACTGGCTGAGCAGGATGCCCGGCATGGTCACTATCCTCAGCTTCTAGCTAGAGTGATAGACTGCTTCTTGTTGTTGATGGCGATGGCGATAGTGATGGGTGGATGGTAGGTGGTAAAGGTTGTAGATGGAGGATGGCGATGTGATGGAGATAAAGTGTTATTCCAGGCGAGCCTCCCTATATTTATACTGCTCCGTCGACCACCCGCAGCTTCATAGATGGATGGAGACGATGGAGATGCTCACCCCGCCGTCTTCTTACTTCAGCATGCATGGTCGAGCACAGGTAGCAGTACCAGCTAGCTACTGCGACCGGGTTTACTCAAAAGTACCTAGCTAACTACATCCCTGGCCGTGGCTTCACGGAGCGTTGGCGCATGACTCCGTGTCCAAGGTAAGGCCTGCGGAAAATACGGGCTGATGGACGCTGCCATTCGTGTCTCGGAGGCAATAGCAGGCATGGTATTTATTAGATTAACTAGTTAATTATTGAGAGTCGCTATACAGCTATCTCGTCTAAATATACACATAAAAAGTGGGCATAGTACTCCGTAGTGTTCTCGCCGGCCGGCATATCGCCATTAAACAGCGGTAGTGCGCCCATGGCGAGCTGGGGTCTGGCGACTAGTTACAGCATACCCCTGGCCAGACGAGGATGATGCCAGTCGCAATGCGGAGGGACCATTTGCTGTGCGTCCCCATTCCAGCGGCCCGGGGAAGACGGACGGGAGGGAGAAGCCAGACGGAAGAAGGAGAAGCAGACGCAGAGTCTTCTGTTCATTCCCAGAGAAAAAAAAATGAGGCTTCCGTACGAAGCTGCTGGGGTCATCCTCGCTATGAAGTACCCCATGGAGTATGCTCCTAACGAGACAGTGGAAGTAGGGGGCTTTCACTTTCAGCTTTTCGCCTCTCGGTCGAAGGCGTCTGATTAACTCCCGGGGTCAGGAATCATCAGCTCATCCCAAAGGTCCGAAGACAAAACCTAGTGGATGCGGCCGGAGACGCATATTTTTTTCTTATCTGGCTGATATTTTGCTGAAGGGCGCAAGAGACGACCCCCTTTCCCACCGCTATTTTGAATTTTTTTTCGTCATTCCGTCAGGTTTGGAGAGTTGAGAATTCCCCCTGTCCAGAATTTTTTTTTCGACAAGGTATAGATCCAGCAAATAAGACATTTCATGAACAGGGTGTGTTTTGGTATCATGTTGGCGCTGGCGTGCTTAGTTTACGTCGCCTTATGCATAAATAGTCCATCCTTGGCTCCCCTGTCAAATTCGATAGGATTGTGGGCTTCCGGTGGGACCTGGGGTCGTTTTGTCAGAAGAAATTTGGGGAAGCCTGATCATGATAGGCATAAGATCTGTGGGTTAGTTCAATGGACCGATGAGACATCATGTAGGGCCGACGAGCGCAACCGAGAAGGCTTGCCGACCCGGAAGTCCATCCTTCACATCCGCCATGCTACCGGCTGCATACATATACTAAGATAAGTACTCCGTAAATAACGTGCTGTGGGAGTGCGGATGCTCCCCGTACATATACGCGGCACGCCATTAAGTATAAGTAATCCGGATGTCTTTTTCTTTCTGCAGGGACAACGAGCAGTCTCGCTATCGCCAGGGGTAGATGGCATATTGAAACGGGAGACGGTGAGGTTTCTTGGACCACGTTACATCATGTTGCATACGTCGGTAGGCTCGCCGTAGACATCTACCATTGCGGCTCGCTCGTTCTCCCTCTGCTTTGTTTTGGTTTCCTTGGGAAAGGATGACTGCAGGAAGGTCAACAGCTTTTGGTCTAGGTTTTCTACATGACGTTGTTAGGATTACTGTATGTTTTAAGACGGCAACATATATGCTAGGGATGTACAAAGGCAAAGGTGAAGACCTACTGCTTGTTGCCTCCATGACAACCTCGGCTCGGCACATGGGACAGTGGTTCTGTTGCTGGCGTTGCATGACGACTAGGCACCGAATGCAGAAAACGTGGGAGCATCTCAGCCTGACCGGCTTGAAGGAGATAGTGAAACAGACTGGGCAAAGATAGTCGTCCAGCTGCGGCACAACTACTAATATCTGCTCAGAGATCGCCTGGCAGACAGACCTTGAGAGACTGCTGGCGGAAAACGGTCCTGTTTTAGTAAAGGCGGATCGCGCGTGAAGCGCGGTTTGCTTGTCGAACTTCTTCAGGATCTTGCTCAGTGCCATGCCATTGATTTCCTGAAACTTGAGATTCTGCAGCACCGCGAGGTTGATATGCATAAACATCTCAAGGGCGCGCCGGCCGTTGCGCCCAAGCTTCTTGGCGTGCTGCTGCTTGACCAGCTGCTTCTGGAAGGCTTCGAGGCGCTGGCGGGCAACCTCTGACGACCGCTCGCCGGAGTCTGCTTCGCCTGTGGAGAAGAAGACCTGCATCTCCATGTAGATGCGGAAGACTTCGCGCCAGGCATAGATGGCAACTTGATCGGCCTTTTTGGTAGGAGTCGCCGGGCTTGTGACTTCGACAATACTTTCGCGAAGCAGGGCAACCTGGCTGTCAAGGTCCTTCTTTTCGTGCGCTTGTAGGTCCTCCAGGTTGGAGAGACCAACTTTGAGCAGACGGAAGAACTCTGAGTCGGAGGAGAGGGGGATCTCGATCGACTGATAGGGCCCGTCCGCGTCGGTTTTCGTGGTGCAGGAGCTCTCGGATTCACCGGTACAGGGATTATTTCCGCCACTGCTGCTGGTGCTGCTGCTCGTGCTGTTGGACCTGATACTGCTGCTGTCCGTTTGTGCGATGGCGGGATAACTAAGTAGTTCGCGGGGGGGCTTATCGTCCGGGCCCATGGCGAACGTCAGAACGGGGCGCAGGGAGGAGGAAGATTTACATTCTGTTGTCCTGTATAAGTACAAGCTTGTGTGAAGCATAAAAAACAAGGGAAGGAGAGAGATCGCCCATGCTCTAAACAGGGGGGGGGAGTATACACATACCCCTGAGCGAATATGCAAATCCCACACGGGCCAACCTGCCATCTCCCTCGCCATCGGCCAGGCTGCCGTCCTCAGTCAGCCAGAAGCGGTTGAGCACATCTGGACTGAGTCCCAGCGACAGCAGCTCGCTCTGCACCCGCTTGATGCACTTCTTCAGCTGGCGGTACGAGATGGCCGACCTCACCCATTGCGAAGGGAAGCCCTCATTCTCGAGGGTGCTCACGTAACTGTGGGCGAACTTCATCTTGACAGCACCTTGTCAACACGCTCATCGGTATCTTTCTGCTCGTCAGGCTGGTCGGTTTCTATCTTCAAGTCTTTATATCTCGCGTCTCTTAATATCCTGGTGGGAAAGACGAAGTTAATAAGCAATTTTTTTTGACATCACAAGGAAAAAAAAATAATAAAAAATTACCAGAAACGGAAAAAGCAAAAAAAGGGGCGACAAAGCACGGACTGGTCAGCTGATCCCTGTCAGGACTTACTAATCACGGCATTAAGTAATCTCTTAGCTAAGCAGCTCTTCGCATTTGCGCTTGCGGACGAGAATGCGACTCCACCGGTTGACGGCCGCGCAGTAGTCGAAGCGGCGGCGGCGGGCGTAGTTGAGCTCGATTTGTCTGCTGTTCTGCTCGTCCGTTATCTGCGTGCGGAGGAGGCGTTGCTGCTCGACGAGGGCCTGGCGTTGGCGCGCAAGCGAGTCGAGGTCGTGTGCTTCGTTGCCGTTCTCGGCTGTCTCTGCTAGCTCGCTGGGCACCAATGCGAGCTCGAGCATAGCCGGGGTCAGCCCGTACTGCGCGTCTGGGCCGCACAGCACGGCGTTTTCAGGGTCTGCCTCGTCGCAGTTTTCTCCGAACCCGGCTAAGCGGCTGTTAAGGTGCTGGAGAGCCTTGACGTTGGATGCCAGGTCGGCAAGGTATCCGGTCATCGGGTCCTTGGACAGGCTTAGGATGGAAAACTCGATATCTCCCTCTTCGTACTCTGCCATCTTCGTCTGGATCTCTTTCGTTGCCAGTCCAAGCCAGTCTTCCTCCACGCATTTTCCTGCAAGTAGTTAGATTACGATTGTTGCAAGGCAAGAAACATGGAGTTTCTGGATAGGACTGGTGCCCGATGACATACCGAGACTCTGGGGTTGTCGTTCTAGACCGTCAAATTTCCATACCCTCTCCTTGGCCTTGACAAATGCGATGAAATGAAACCCGGCCTCGGACTCGTCTAGCTCTTGGTTTCCTCGGGCCTTCCACTTCTGCTGGTTCTTGAGCAGCATGTCTGCGCTGAGAATGTCCATTTTCCTGTACTGGTCAGCAGATGCAGTTGTGTTCCTGTCATGCCTGCTTACAGACAACCTACCTGGCAAACGAGTTGTGCACCTTTTTGACAAATTCAAAGTTGCCAATCGCATAGCCTCGCATGGCGGGACTGAGGTCTTTGGTAAACTCCCGGAACGACTTCAGCTCCTCTCCCATCTCGATAACTTCGATGTTGTAGATTATATTGAGCAACGCCACGGTGGCACATGCATTTTCCACCGTCTACTTCATTAGCTCTACCGTTATCATGGAATGTGTGGCACCTTGTATATCTATTTACCTGATTGGCAAACCATAGTGACTCAGGGCAGCTCTGTTCTTGCTTGTGAGGATCGTCTTCTCTCCAGCGGAAGAGAAAGATCAGACCGTAAATGGGTTTCCTATATCCATGTTGTCAGCAGTGGTTCTACATAAGTAACTAGGTACCTCAACTACTAGGTAGCTCAGGGGTATAAACACACGGCAAGAAGGCTAGCATCTCCTCGTCCAGCGACACCACTTCCTGCACCTTGACCCCCTTGACGCCGATGTCCTTTAGTATGGCATTGAATAATGCCTGCAGCCGGGTTAGCCACTCTCTAGCTTATCTATCAACCACCGCATAGACGTACTGGCTCGTTCTCAATCTCACAGAAGCCGTTCCAGCTGTCCCTTTCCTCGCTGGTCAGAGGCGTCAACCCGTCCTCCGCGGCGTCTTTCTTCTGACCACCAGCCATCCTCACCCTCCCACCCTTATCTCGCCCTTCGTCCAGAGTAGCTGTCTTCTTCGGCGCTCCCATCTCGCATCTGCCAGCTCTCACACTCTCTGCTCTCTCTCCCTTTCTTCGTTCTCCTCTCAAGGTTGTTTTTGAAGCTTTCGCGGAGGAAACTTTAGCCCGTGACCGCGCTAAACCTAATCGGGGCTGCAGAAAAATAAAAAGTAAAAAATTACTTCCAAGCATCAACACAGCTTCAAGCGAGCCAGACGAAGACGACGACGCCGAAGCGAAGACGAGGGTCTGACGAGAAACACGCCCACCTGCGACGCTCATTAGCACTATCTACTGCCTTAAAGAGATCTACCAGACGAGATACGGTGGCGGAACTTATACCGGAGTCGGCGGTAGATACCACCTGACGGTCGCCTGGATGGTACCTGGCACGCGTCTCGACCTCTAACCGGCCTCACCAGCAAACGAAACACCATATCAAAGGAGGCCCTGCAGAGACCATAATGCAATGAGTGACACTCCCCGACTACGTTCGGCTTTCCCTCGAACACCTCGCTCCGAACCACGGACCCCTCGAACGTCCACCGGCTACCATGACCCAGCCGTTACGCCCGTCCCCTTTGGCCGGGGAAGCAAGATCAACTTCGCCAGCGCCAGCGCTGTTGTGAGGTCTGCCAATGCCGCCCAGCCCCAGGATAGGCCTCTGATACCGTTTCACATTGTCGATGCGCCTGCACAGCGACTCTACGTTGTTGCGTTTTACGCTGCGTTGAATGCATGGCGGTTTTACGAATACTGGACGTCTACGGATGAGGGGGATGCTACATGGCTGTTTTTGAAATGGCTGCTCATAGATGCTACATATCTGTTTGGGCTGCCTGTGCTGCGGATCCCGTGGTTAGAGTGGGCGTTTTCAACCACGTTAGCGATATTCCTGGTTCATGTGGTGATTAACGTGTTTTTGATGTTTAAGATTCCGGTACGTCAGACAAGCATATCATCGATTGGTCTGGAGTATACTGACGAATGACAAAACAGTTACCGATGGAAGCCTGGGTCGTTTCTTTGTTCAAAATGGCCTATGACAGAGAGCTTTCGATCTCCGGACAACGCGTTAAACCTTATGACATCCTACACAACTCGTCATTAATTCTAGGCAAACATATCGTCCATATCTTGCCGGAAGGGTATGACTGTGCCCGGCACTCTCGCTCTATATACAGTTGCTGACTTAACTTTCTTTTAGTTCTGCCGTTCTGAACCCAGACAAGGTTCCGTTGTGTCTCGGCCATGCGCATTCCTCTGTCAACCTCCCCATCCGAGTGAACCAAACCAACCCTATCCTCATAGAACTTCTGCGCTTTGATCTCGAAACTGGTGCAAACGAAACGATTGTTATCCCTGAGAAACAGGCCAAGACCCTCAGACGCCAGGCCAGCCAAAACTATCCAAAATCAGAACAACGAGAATGGCTGGATCTTCTCTACCCCGTGCGCAAGACCGGTGTTTATCAGATCAAAAAAGTGGTGGATGAGTCCAAGCTTGCTGTTCATCATCGTTCCATGGATACTCTCGTTGTCAACTGCCCCAAAGCCTCGATGTTGACTCGCGGGGGCCACAAGTGCAGAGGGGCACTATCCGATCTCACTATGTCAATGCATGGAACTCCGCCGTTCAAGATAAAATACAGTCGCACCGTCAACGACGTTGACCAAGGGATCTCCTTCCAAAGCATTCAGCCAGAAGGTCACCAGAAGCTGCCAGAGCCGGAGGAGGAGCCAACTAATCCAGTCCTGGCCAAATTTAGCTGGGCTCGCCAACAGAAGGTGGAAGTTCCTCTGAACGAATCCCTAACTGCATTCGGGGAATGGACTTATGCTATTGAGGAAATCCACGATGGTTGTGGGAATGTTGTCAACTATACCAAAAACCCAGATGTTGATGAGGGTCTTTGGTCTCAGCATCATCCGCAATCTCAACAATTCTTCGTTCATGAACTGCCTCGGGTATCCCTGTCCGGCTGTGACACGCAAACATACCTCCAAATCGCCAAAGGAGAGTCAATTGACCTCCCAGTTCATTTCCACGATACCGGGTATGGACAGAATAAGGATTTCCCTTTCACTCTCAGCTACTCATTTTCTGAGTCTGGAGAGGATGGTGATAAAAGGGAGCCTACATCTGTTCATGAATATGAATTCAAAAATGCCAACAGTAAGCCTAGAATCAAGGCTTCTGGCTGGTACAGTATTACTGGTATCTCCAGTCCATACTGTCGGGGTGAAGTCTTTGAGCCGTCGTCCTGCTACCTCCACAATCCAGCTGAGCCGCAGTTAGCTATCCGCCATGAAAAGATTTATGATACCTGCGCTAACAACTCCGTTGGTCTTCTGGTGTACCTCGATTTGATCGGAACGCCACCATTCAGGGTCAGGTATTCCATAGAACACTCTAAGGGCGTACAAACCAGGGTGCACACCATCAATGGCCTGCACGGACAACTTGATTTGAAGCCTGCAGAGGAAGGGCACTACAGATATAGATTCCTGGATATATCTGATCGCATATACGAGGCTCGTTCATTGAAAGACAGCGTACCAGCCCTAGAGCAGGATGTGAAACCTCCTGCCTCTGCGCAATTTGTCGGACCCCTCACAAGCCGCAAAGCCTGCTTCGGCGAACCCGTTTCAATGGACGTGATGTTTGTTGGAGAACCGCCATGGATTTTGAACTACGAGGTGGTACATAACGGAAAGAGGAAGAAGCATGAACTGAAGAGTGATACCGATGTTGCGTCTCTTTCCACGGCAGACCTTGTTAATGGTGGTGTCTACACTGTTGGTCTCACCAGCGTTAAAGACAGATCGAACTGCAAGAGAGCCCTGAAGGAGGAGATTCGAATTGAAGCCAGACCGAAAAGACCGCGCGTTGGATTTGGCCAGATAGACCAGAAACGAACTATTCTGGCCTTGGAGGGCAAGGCGGTAGATCTTCCTTTAAGACTGGAAGGTGAAGCTCCATGGAAAGTGAAGTACCAGAACAAGCTCGATCCCACTGCCGGCCCTGTGGAGAAAACCTTTTGGAATGCAAACAGCGTCCTTAGAGTAACAGATCAAGGACAGTATGAGATCATTGGTCTGTCGGATGCGACTTGCCCTGGATCAGTTGATGAGAAAGCACATATTTTTGAAGTTTCCTGGATTGCCCGGCCCAAGATCACTGAGGTTGATGGTGTCAAACTGGGGCCTCAGACTATTATTGCAAAGGATGAAGTATGTGAAGGTGACGTGAACTCTCTAGAGCTGAAATTTGGTGGCAACCGTCCATACACAGTTCGGTACGAAGAGAGCTATAAGGCTGGAAATTCGAACCCAACTTCCCGCATGAGAAGTCTCACTGCTGCCCTTAACTCTGCCTCTATACCAATGCGGACTACTATGGCTGGAAATTACACCTATAAGTTCCTGGAAATTGGAGATAATCTCTATAGCCCTGAAAAGAAAGCAAAGGATCCTATTATTGTAACCCAGAAGGTGAATCCCCGTCCATCAGCTCGGTTTGAGTCTCCTAGCAAAGTGTACGGATTTTGCAAGGAGGAAGAACAGGAAGATGAGACAATCCCGATCATACTTGAAGGTATACCCCCGTTCACGCTTGAACTTGCTGTCAAACATCATTCAAGCGCGAAGCCGGAACTTCTTTCTATTCCCAACATCAATTCAAACCGATATGCACTGCCTGTTCCTCGCCAGTACCTTGATCTTGGACAGCATGTCATAAGCATCCGCAAAGTCAGAGATTCACGTGGCTGCCAAAGGGCGACCGAATTCGATGGATCATCAGTCAGAGTATCCATTTCTGACGTGCCAACCATTATTCCTCTTGAATCACGAGAGGATTACTGTGTCGGCGAGAGAATATCCTTCTCCCTTTCCGGCCATGCGCCGTTTGAAATCTACTACACCTTCGATGGTGTGGCCAGAAAGGCGAAGAGCCAGGCCACGACCTTCCGACGTATTGCGGAAATGCCTGGTGAATTCAAGATCACATCAGTCAGTGATGGAGCTAGTGGAAGGTGTCGAGTTCATAAGAATATCACCAAAGTGATACACCAGATGCCCAGCGTCAGGATCAGCCGTGGGGGTGTGTCTGTTGTCGACATACCCGAAGGTGGTGAAGCGGAGATCATGTTTGAGTTCTGGGGAACTCCTCCCTTCGAATTCACGTAAGTTAATCCTAAGCTTTCAATACCAACACTTCATATACTGACGGATACTTCTCTAGTTATACCCGCAGCTCGAATGACGGCAAGGGCAAGAAGCGTGTCATTCTCGACACTAAGAATGACATATCTCATGAGCACACGAAAACTATCAAAGCTTCAGATGAGGGAACATACGAAGTTATATCCATCAAGGACCGTTACTGTTCTTTTTCGACACAGTCTGATAAAGGGAGCCGACGAGGCTTCTTTTAAACACACCCTCTTATCTATAACATCATGAACTTGCATGGAGAATGCGAAAAATTAAATGGATAATTAATGTGACCGGTTTGTTTTTTGCTATCATCAAAGGAGGGCTCTTTTTTCTATCACAATATACACCAATTTCATCGTCATCTTCTATTTTTACCCTCTACAAACACCAAAAATCGATTCAATGGAGCACCTGTACCTTAGAAATGATATCCCCTGCTATAGATGCAATTTCATTCAAAATTGCCCTCTTGTTCAATGCTACTTCCTCCCTATCCTGGGTCTTCTTCGGGTAAGATGAAAATCCAATCTTCAGACCAAATGGCTGTGTTTTTGTAGTTTGTGGATTCCAGAGTCCTGCTATCACCTTCTCACTAGCATGGCCGCGGAAAAACAGGATGTGCTCTCCATACAGACTGCTGAGCTCTGCAACGAGATCACGAACCATTTCGTGTTTGGCATACTCAGATGTCAAGGCTGAGTCATGGAGATTCTTGAAGGCGGCTTTCTTTGAACGGTCCGAAAAGAATGATGGACTTAGGTGGAGCAAAAAGTCGTAGTCATCTAAGGGGGACCGGAAAAGTTCACCAACTTCCAAGTCCACACCCTTTTCTCTAACTAGTTTTGATGCAGCCTTGGCTAACATGACCATTCGAGACGCTATGATTCTTGATGGACGACTGTGCTGTGTCCACGTAACACCATCCGGGTCGATATTCGAGGCAGCAAAGAGAGCAACGTTTTTCATTACCGGGTCAATCTTTCGCCATGCCTCGAAGCGGGTGCGGATATCTGTGAAGTCCTGGCTCTCGAGTTCGCCGCTAAAGTCCACTATGAGGGGCTCATGCTGCCAATCCCACTTAGACAGCATATGTAGAGTTCGAAGGAAAGCTGTAAATGCGTTTGAAGGGGCATCCCAAGGGTAAGAGGCAAGGAATATTTGGCACGTTAGGAGCTCAAGGAGCTCTTCACGCACGAATGGAGCCAAAAGATGGGCGCCTATCCAAGATTTCAACATCCTGATAGCGATAGGTAGTAGTGGGTAACGGTTTGAGAGGCTCTGGAGTGCCTGGGCGTGGCGAGGGGCTTGGAGGAAAGTTGCCTTATAGGCGGCGAGAGCAACAGCAAGTTCCTCCTTTTTTCTTGCAGGTAAATCCTTACTCTTCAATTGGGCTTGTATGATAGCCTGCTCTGGTTCATGGTGGATGCGTAAACGGAATATTATAAACGGAGAATAATGGATCTCAAGGAACGAAGTATTTAGTAGATTGCTCTCGTTATTTTCTGTCCCAACTCTGGCTTCAATAACGCCGTCTGCTTTGCGGATTGACTCTTCTACTTTGAGGAGCAAAGCTACCTTGGTCATTTGAATCGAGCCTAGATCATCGGGCCAACGGGAAGAGGATTGGAATAGAAGGACTGCGTCCATAGGAGCTCCAGGTGAATCAGGTGAGCATCGAATAAAGGGAGTGGCTAGAAGGAGCTGACTGAAAGCGATGGGGAGGCTCTCGTCGGACTGGAAGTGCCTTTCAAGCTTCTGGAAAGCTTCCAGGACTGGTTCGGAGGCTGGTGTGGTCGACAAGGCATTAGATATGCCAGGGATAGCTTGGCCAATATCTGCTGCCATATACACAATGTTCTCGGGAGTGACTTTGAAGTGGTGATGGAGAATATAGGTCAATATTTGTTGAACAGGGGTACCAGAAGAGGCCTGATCAGACCACACCAAACTCTCCTTGATGCTGCCATCTTTGAATCGGCGTAGTTCGGCTTTATCACCCCAGAAGTCTCGGAAAGCAGCCGATTCTTCCTTATCTTCGACAGAAGGCCCATGGTCAATACTGCGACCCTGATTAGATGCATCGAGGTTCAATCCAGCAATTATGGTCCATTTCTTGCTCTCCTTGGGTGGTGAGGTGGATTTGACAGCCCAGCTCGGTACTTCACCCGAGGTGAGGTCTATCGCTGTGGCCCTATCCCCAAGAGCTTTTGTTAAAACTCGATGCAGGGACTGAAGTCGTTCGGCTGCCTGGATTGTTGGTGGGCGGCGTCCAGGTAGCGTAATGGATATGACTTGGTCGAACCTGTAGAAGGCATCACAGACTTTTGTGATAAAAATGCTGTCGAAATGATCGCGAGTTGAGTCATTTAGCATCTTAAGGGTTAAGGTAGCCTCGCGCTGGAGGAGTTTATAAGACCAAGGCGTCATCTTATATAGGATGTTCAAGCCTCGTTTCCCATCAAAAAGACCGGGGAAGCCAGTATCAGCCACGGTACCTAACCCTTCTGGGGCATGCATCAGAAGTGGTTTCGTAAGATCTTTGCCGGAGAGGAACTGGAGAGTCGCCTTGAAAATCTGATAGCTGCTGTAGCTTGGAGCAAGTACAGGTTTTCCATTTGGACCACCGCCCTCTAGGAGAAGAGCAAGGACAGTGGCCCATTCAAAGTGACCGAATCCGCCTGAAGCAAAAGAAGTTCCAAACCCTCGCTGACGAAGCCAGGCCCGGCCCAGGATGCATGAATCTTTGAATGCAGCGCATTTGACACCGGCGGAGTGGTGTAGTTTCAGGTATGCACTAACTACGGCTTCTGAACGCAAAGATGCGTTATAAATATGCGTAGAATTGGCGCCAATTGATTTATGCTCAGCTTCGCTGTCGAGTCGAAGGCTATTATGCGACGGAAAAGTGTGAGAAAGGGCGAATGTATCCTTTTCAACTGCAGTTATGATACGAATGACACAATTTGACCGTGAAAAGTCATCCTCTGCGCCGTCTGCTGGCTGTAGTAAAAGGACCGGCCGAAGGGTATTTCCGTCCTGGTATGTATAGCTGATAGAAAAGTCCACATCCTCTGCGGTTTTGATGGCTGCTGCAATGCGAGCAAGGTAGTATGCTCTCTTGTAGAAGTACCGATAGCTAGTATAATCCTTCTTGTGGAACAGCGTGGAGGGTAATGTAACGGCTAAATCAATGTAGGTAGGCCCTTGTCCCTTCGCCATAGTCTTAAGCGCAAAGCTTCCCACAACGTTTATATCCACCGGCTTGCTATATTCAAAGGTATATCGGACGTCCTTGGCTGGGGGAGGCTCCGGAAACGGAATCGCAACCTTTGAGGATTCGAATTCCTTCTTCGCTTCGGCGAGGGTCTTCGGGTTGCCATTTGGGATCTCTTCGATGACGGTCTTCAGCTTCCGCAAGCTCTTCTCGACTCGGGAAAGGAGTTTATCATAGTCAGGGCGCAGTTGACCGAGCAGCTCGTCCATCTGAAGCTTGAACATGCTCGACTTGAATTGCCCACGCGCGAGTGCATACTCGGCGGCAGAGTTGCTGGGCCGTCCATTGCGCTGGACAGCGGGTGACTTTGGTTTCTTTGACGTGTTGGCGCTGTCTTCTTCCTCTCCAGAGCTCAGCTTCCTCCGCTTCAGAGTAGGACCCGACATTGCGCCCGCTGGTTGTGTTTGCTTCTTCCTTATGATCTTTCGACTGTTATCAGAAATATTTTTTTAACATTTTGATAGAAAATATTATGTATCCGCATTACCATTCTTGGCGGTTTATTTACAGATATTGGGTTCATTATGTAAATTACAATTGTAATAATTGTAATTCCGTGACATATGACTAATGGCCCAAAAAAGGCCGAGGTCGGCGTTTTTTTCGCATTTCAACATTTTATATAAATTTAAAGCTGTTTGTTATTATTTCATCTTTTGCTCTTCTGATGAGTTTATGATTGAATGGCTGGTTTGTTCTATGTCCACATTTGTTGTTGTTTGTGGGAGCATATACATAAGGGCAGCAGATAACCCCCCTGTTCTCTTCTATTAAGCCCTCCTCCTACCAGGAATGATCCCTGGACAGCCACCTACTAGGAACACAGTCTAGTCATAACAACAGTATTATTACTCTATACCCTCCATCAAGGAATAGAAGACGTATCAGAGCTACGGGGAGCTTCATTTTCATGTCTGTCGACCAGCCTGTTGGGGGTTCAGTCCCTCCGAACACTGCCCATGTAAGTGATACCCTATGAGTCAATATCAACCATCCATTGGAACTATATGGGAGCCTACGATAGGATACATATATACTATAGCAATGGAAGTTCATAGTCGGCCCCATTTTTTTTTTACCGAAGCTAGCTGCTGATAGCGTCCTGAGCTGTTGCCTGATACCACTGCTGACATCTATATAGGCGATTAGCGTATCGCTTCCAACATGGGAAGCGAATGTGGGATATGAAGAAGGGGATGCAAAGGTTATCAATGCCATGACTACAGGATACCCAAGATTCTTCGTCCATAAGAGCATCCAATGTCTTGCAAACGAGGTCATTGCCCGTTTTGGTCGGCAGGGAGACGCTGCCATGCTATTCCCATCGCTTAAAACCGCTACATGCTGTAGGGACTTCCTCCTGTCAAAGATACCTGAAGAGGGTAAGCCTGGAGTACGCATTGTAAGGCTTGTTATGCCGCCGCAGATTACCCCTGCAGAGCTCAACGGTATCACGTCGGAGCTTTGTGCAGTGCTTTACCCACAAAAGTATGGCAGTATCTCGAAGCAGGTATGGCAGCACAGTGGATCGGGAATCTCCAGTCGACGCGGTGAATTTTGTCTCAAAGCGTTGAAAGGTGGATATCTCGTTGAAGAGTCTCAGGCGCAGGGACAAGGGCAAGCCAAAGGTGCAAAGACAGACAGTGTCATACATAAGGGACCAAAGAGATACCAGAAAGTTGAATCGCATGGTTCAACTAAACAAGCCGAGCCCACGTCTACCGGCGAAGGGGAGTTTAGCCAGTTTATCGAAGAGCGGTTCGGTCGAAATTTGGACATGTGCCTGGCCAACAACGCGAAGTTGGCTGTCAAACGGCGGATTGCAGGGACATTGTCAGCGACAGAGGCAGACTCGCATAATCCTGAAAATGCCCGTATCCCGGGGCTCAACGAGGAGCATATCATGCTCTACCCTACAGGTATGAACTCGATATTCAACGTGCACCAACTCCTGCTTAAGGCCCGTGGACCTATGAAGAGCATCTGCTTCGGCTTCCCATACATTGACACGCTGAAGATCCTGGAGAAATGGGGCCCGGGGGTGCTGTTCTATGGTCTCTGTTCGACGGAAGAGATAGATGATCTTGAGAAACGCCTGGAGTCAGGAGAGCGGTATCTTGCTCTATTCACCGAGTTCCCAGGGAATCCACTGCTGCGATCACCGGATCTTGAACGCATATATGCCCTTTCGAGGAAATATGAGTTCGCCGTCGTCGTGGACGAGTCGCTGGGCAACTTCATCAATGTGAATGTGCTCCCCTTTGCTGATGTGGTGGTCAGCAGCTTGACGAAGATATTCAGCGGAGACAGCAACGTTATGGGCGGCAGTGCAGTGTTCAACCCGCATGGACAGTTCTATGCGCTGCTCAAGGAGGTGCTGGCCCAAGAGTACGAAGATGACTATTGGGCCGAGGATGCGGTGTTCCTGGAACGCAACAGTCGGGACTTTGTCGGCCGCGTTGAGCGGATCAATAGGTCAGCGGAGACCTTGACCTCGTTGCTGGAATCTTCGCCGCTGGGTAAGTCCAATATTGCTTTGGGCATGGATTTGGGCAGTGTTTTTTTGCTAACTTTGTGTATAGTCAAAGATGTGTACTATCCGAAGAACAGCCCAACCAAGGCGTTCTATGACCGATGTCGTAACCAGGGCGGAGGCTATGGAGGTTTGTTCTCGGTTACTTTCCATACGCCCGAGGCAGCAGCAACCTTTTTCAACAATCTTGCGGTTCTAAAGGGGCCTAGCCTGGGGACAAATTTCACCCTGAGGTTCGTTCTGTCTTGTGTGTTGTGCAAAGTATGAGAAGCTACGGTAACTAACGTGTCACAGCTGCCCGTATACTATTCTGGCACACTATCAGGAACTGGACTGGGTGCGTTTGAGTTATGCAAAAACACCCTGTGTTATTCTTATTCTCCTATTATTGACGGTAACTATTATAGGCCAAATCCTTGAACGTCCCGTCTGATCTGGTGAGGATCAGCGTTGGGCTCGAGGACGTCGACGATTTGAAGAAGAGGATCACATACGCACTTGAAGCGGTGGAGACGAAACTGGGGAAAAGCAGCTGAAGAAGGTTCGGCATGGAGCCTTTGCTGTTGAATTAGTTAACTAAAGAACTAGGTGCCACAGAGTGGTGGTAAGTTACATTATTAGGTGTGGTTTTATATGCCCGCTGGGTCCTCACGCTTAGCGATATCAACTATCGATGCATATGGACGAACGGGGGTGGAGATTATTACATTACAAGGGAGACCAGGGAAAGTCAATGGCCGAGATAAGTATGTAAGTGGTCAAGATCATAAGGAATGGCAATATATGGTTTTCCCAGGAACCAAGGTGCTACTTGATGAAACAGGGACAGGGCGCAAAAAACGTATAGATTACAAGTAAATAGACCAGAATCGCCAGAAAATCGGACAAGCAAGTATAAGTGGTGCACGATAATGGCGGCAAGGAAGTAGATGGGCGAGGAGCAAATAGGTATCAAACCGGGAGATAAAGTAGAGAACTGGGCCTGCACCGTCGCATACAAACAGTGACACTGGGAGAAAGGGATGAGAAAGAAAAACAAAAGAGTTAAAGTCAAGGGGGTGTGTTATCATGGGATAACTAAACATGGCAATAATGCAAGTTTCATTCACTTAAAGGGTCGTTCATAGGCCGTGTCACTTGCAGCTGCGCTCAGGGGAGGGTTTCTGAGGGAACCGCCTAGATCTCCGCTCCCGGTGCGGCGCAGGGCCTGCCTCATGGTCTCGACGTTCAGGTCACTGCTGAGCACGGCGGACGGGCTATGGGGACAAGGTGGTGGGCTGCGCGGTACGCGAGCTCCACGGCTGGGTGAGGAATCAAGACATCTGGGCTCGCCGGGCGAGACACTGGTGGGTGGCGAGCTTCCTGGTCCATGGGAGGAGATGGGCGAGCGCATGGGCGAAGGCGACCTGTTGTTTCTGTTGTGTGTGCTGGGGTTGTTCATGGCTGGCGCGTTGGCAAGAGCAGCAAGCCCGCCCATGATCTGGGAGTCTCGGTTGGAGGCATGTTCGTAGGACTCCACTTGTTCGCCATGGACGAGGTCAGCAAAGGAGACAAAGCTGAGACGCCTGATATCCGCCGAGTCGAGGCCACCGTAAGTCGAGGCAGTTTCTGGGTCGCAGGGACTCTGTGGGTAGGCATGTTCATGGAAAGAGGAGGCAATAGAGCGTTCGCCGTGAGAGGCTGCCGCTGGATGAGCGGTCGTCGATCCAGCAACAGCAAAGGAGGCCGGCTGGTGCAGCGTATGGGTCACGATCTCAACCGAGTCCGGGTCGAGGCTCTGGTCAGTCAGGGCCGCAGAGGAGGCCCCGAGGATGGGCGGGATGTGGTTCTCGGTGACGATGTGGGAGGGGATAGAGGGCGAGGACTGGACGGGGAAGTCCTCCTGGACGTCTCGCTCGAAGATCTGGGAAGACGCGGGCGAGTGCATCTGGGAGTGCGGACTCAGCTGTCTGCTGGGCGAGGTGGGAGTCATGTAGGCAGCATGTCGTGCGCGATGGGGGGAGACTGAGGCCCGGTTGGGACTGAGCGAGCCTAGGGGCAGAGGCGAAACTGGTCTGCCGGCGGCCATGGTAGAGAGCGGTTTGGGTCTGGGAGCGTTGTTCTTCTCGCGGGCGAGGTCCTCGCAGCCGTTTATATGTCCCTGGCTCTCCTCCCCTGCGCTCTGGCTGCCTGGGCGCGATGTCTGCCTGGAGGGCTTCTGCGGCGCAGCGGCTGGTGTAGTAGTTGTAGTAGTAGTGGTTGTTGTAGTAGTAGTCTTGTCCTTGCTGACGGGTAGCTGCTGGGCCGGTAGTATGCCAGAGGCCATGCTATTCTCCGGCAGGTCGGCCCCGCGAGCACCAGGAGGAATAGCCAGCGCCATCAGCTGCTCTCGCTGTCGTCAAGCGTCAAGCGTCCAACCCCCCTGGGGCGGCTGGGACGGCGTAGAGGATGCAGCCAAAAAGGCTCCGGTCCGTCTGGGGAAGGCTGGCGAGGGGCGAAGGGCGCCGCGTCTGTTCAGCGGGCAGCGAGACGGGGGTTGGGCGAGTCGTGGGCGGCCAGCAGGCGTCTTGACCGAGCGAGCATGAGGCTGTCCAGTTGCTGTCGGCGTCGCTGCTGTCGATGTCGTTCTTTTTGCTGTCTTTTTGCTTGTTCTTTTTTTCTTGTTTTTGTCGACGAAGATGACGTCGTGTACGGTAATTACGTATTCTATATTAGTCATCCATACTTCTTCTCGATACTGAGTGTAAATCCAATACACCATATAAAAGATCTATCACGTGATATACATTTCTCACGTGACCATATTACTCGAAAGTTTTTTTTGGCTTCAAAAAAATAAAATAAAAAAAAAAGACGGAAAAGAAGCAGAAGAAAAGCGCATCGACAGCCTCGAGACGCCGGATAATCTCGCTAATCGACACCTTTGCTGCGGTCGGGGGCTGCTGTACTCGACGTCCTGCCTTGCTGCCCGTTTCCAGCTCGCCAATTGAGCAGTTGAGCCGTTTCGTGAGCCTGAACTGTGCCTGGAGCGAACAAGTACTTCACCATATATCAAGACAACTCCATATACCACGACTGAACAGCTTCGACATGGCTTGCACGGCTGCCCTGACGCGCCGTCCGGCCCTTAACTTGCTTCTCTGCCCCGAACTCCAGTCACAGGCCAGCCGACGATGGCAGTCGACCTACCGCCGCACCAAGAAGCGGCTACGCATAAAACCTGACGCCTCCTTTGCTCCCTCCAGCTCGACCGAAGCACACATCATCCACAACCCTCCTTCCAGCGCCCCCTCCGTCTACCTCACACCTACAAAATTCCTGCCCGCAGACGACATACGGCGGACACTACGGGGGAAGCTGGAGTCGACGACAGACGTCAACGTTGGCGAGCTGCCATCCTTACTGCAGGCGGAGAAGCCCAAGAAGTACCTGACCAAGGAGGAGATAGAGGCCATGCGAGAGCTGCGGAAGAGTGATCCCATTCTCTGGAGCCGGAGTAAGCTGGCAGAAAAGTTTGGATGCAGCACGTTGTTTGTCGGAATGGCATGTGAGGCGGCCGGCGAGAAGAAGGCCATTCAGCGGCAGATCCTGACAGCTGTCCAGTCTCGATGGGGCCTTAAGCGGACGATGGCTCGTGAGGACAGGCAGCTGCGTAAGGAGGTCTGGGGGAGGGACAAATAAATCTTACTACTCTTTTTTCTCTGCATTTTGCTGTCGTGTGCTGTCTGACTACCATTTGAGAGCTGTCGACGAGCCAGGGAGGGCGATGCTAGATGCATCTCCTGTTCTATGTACTATAACTGCTACCCTATATCTGCCGTCTTCTCGTCTGTTTTTATATACTATATTCGTGTATGATACAATCCGTACAATATTAATAACTTACGGATACTCGCATACTGTTACGCGAGGAGATCTTCATCTCTATATTTTATCTGGAATTTACTCGTACGGCTCGCACGATTGCACCCATCAACCAAGGATTGATGAGTTCCAGGGGAAATCAGGCCTTTCTGTCCAGAACTGCCCGCCATGAGCGTTATCTAAACCCCATATGTCTTTCTACCGACTTTATCTCCCGTTCAAATTCGGTATTACCGTGGCTAGAAAGCGGGAGTGCCCCCCGTTTCCTCTTTTTCGTCTTTCTGCTATTCACGACCCTCGCACGCTCAAAATCGACAAACATCACCTGTTTATTCTCTGCATTCCAAAACATGTTGCCGCTATGTGCGTCCCGATGCAGGGCATGTTGTTTATGGATCGCCCGTAGAGACTCGCATGCAGAAGGTGCAAAGTCTCTAAGGTTGTTAGCACCAGCGTGGAACTTGACAAGCCGTCCTGCGTGGCCGAGAAGCAGTAAGTGAACTACTTCGAAGATGCCATCGTACCATAGCGGCCGGCTGGATATGTCAACACTGCCCAGACAGACAGGTACGTAAATCCCTTGAATCGGACGGAGGTGTTGGTATATCCGCTCTTCATACAGTGCACATTTGACTGTTTCAACTGGCATTGCCTTTGCTACAAGGGTATACCCGTATGGGAACAGTGTAAGCCAGAACAAAGCCCCGCTGGTCCCGTGGAGGTGCATAGATTCGCAGCCTGAAGGACCAGAGTCGGCCAGAATTTGTGCACGGACTAGTCTGCGGAATTCACGGTCATCAATGGCGTGCCGTTCAACACCGTGGTTGGCGACGTGTGGACAATTTTGATCCAGGGGCCCGCGGTTAAACAGGCCCAAGAGGCATTTCTGGGTGCAGAACTGCGTCGGCTCTATCGGCGGTTCCATACTGTATTTATGCTCCCTGCTTCCCGTGGGCGGAGGTTTTGTGACTGCCGTGACGTTGGAGGCACGGCGAGGAAGCCCACTGCTTGGGCTGCCGGGGTCGAACCCACCACTTCCACTACTATCGTCGTCATCGCCGTCGTCACTGGGCTCTGAGCCTCTCGGTCTTTCGGGGTCACGGCACGAGGCCAACCCTTTTGACTTTGACCTTGTTTTGATCGGCGATACCCGGATATATTCATTTCTACTCTTCCGATCCTGCTTGTAATCTGACAGTTTCTTGCCAGTACTCTCCTCAATATCCAATCCAAAGAGGATATCATCCTGCTCGATCTCCCATCGCTTTAGCTGTGCCTCTGCATTATTGCGCCAGACTTGACCGCGTGGCGGCGACTTCAAGGCCCGAAGGGTAAAGGCTAGAACCTGACCGATGGCCGTAAGATGTAGCCTGTTAGCTGAGTCCTCGCCAGCCCAGCCAGTGGTTTCTCCGACGTCTTCATTTGGCGTAGAAAGATAGTAATACACTGTAGCAGGGTCATCAGAGGGCACACGGAGAAATATAAACATTTCACCAGTACAGACATATCCAAACTCAAGTTCGGCCTGAATCATATATGAGAAAGCCTGTGAGATGACTGCAGCTACCCTTCGCTGAGCAAGCTTCACAGGATCATCACTCTCATTATATATAACCACATCGTCAACATCCATCTCCATGAGGCCAGCCTCTATGATGGCCAACGTGAGTTTATGTGGTGCTTTGTATTCAATGATGAACGCGGGTATAGCTCTTTCTGGCCCTGTATTATAAACACAGAACTGGTCAGCGCGAGGGCGAGACGACCTTGACCGCACGGTCGGCGTAGCAGGTAGTGAATCCCCGTGCATGTCCGCCTTCTTCCGCCGCTTCTGCACCGGAGACTGTTGTGGGGAGCCAATATCTGGATTTGCGGTCGTCTCGGCGCCCCGTTCCTCTGTAGTTATGGTATTTCCGTGGTTCTCAAACGTTACATCTCCTCCGAGGTTGAATATCTTGCGGAGTCTGTCATCTGAGAAGAGATTCCGGATGATAAGCGAGACACGGTCCTCGACAGCATAGCGTTCGTAGTAATTAAGATCTAGCTCAGAGCCCATTGACCTTACTTGCAAGTCGTTGCCCATTTCTTTCAATGTGTTCAAGGAGGTGAAATGGGGCTCTGAGGCAAAGTCAACGCTAAAGAGATCTCTCCACACCTCGGATTGCTCCTGGGAGAATGTAGTCCATTCCCGGATATAGTCAGGACGAAGTTTCAGATATGCATTTTCAGGGTTTCCTTGTGTTCCGGTCTTGTAGTTTATACGTGAGGAAAAGCCCACGGATAGGTACACATGGCAGGCGTCCAAAAATTCGGGAAGGGTAGTTGGCTGTAACTGTTTTTGGAGCCTCGCATTGTCCCTTTCAGCTCTTTCTTTCTCGTCCTCTGCCTGTCGTCGAAGGGCTCTCTCTCTCTCTAGCTGCTGGAGGAGCGCTTCCTCCCGAGAGCCCACTGGTGCCTCGTTGGCCATGACCGTGATTTGTCAATAAGATAGATGGACTCGTCTTTTGGCTCAGCGGTTTGACAGGTTTGGACGGTCGCTAGAGCACTTATTTGATATTGTGTTGAATAATGTCGTCCGATTTGCACGACTCACACCCACATGGACCCAACATCCATTGTTCCATGGGGTGGTCAGGCCCGGCGACGTTTGTCGTCGTCGTCGATTGTTGCTATAAACAAGCGCGCGCGCGCGCCTACGACCGCAGCTTACATAATAATTAAGTATTAGCCGGGTTTAACCGTTAAACCCGGGAGGCCCACAAGGTAGCTGTGCAGAGCCTCTTCCACAATTCCAAGTCTTATACCTTTATCGACACTCACAACGCATGAACGAGGAGGTGGGTATCCATGTAGTCTATCTCCGCATGCAGAGAGCAGGTCTGGGCTGTCAAGGTAAGTCTACCTAAAACCAATAGATTAATCCGTGGTTGTTACAACGTTTTTATCACTACGATTCAGGGTTGTTTGACAAGCAGCAATACTAAAGCGAGCATTGTATTGCATTGCAGCCCTATGAGCGAAACTGAACTACTCCACCCTTCATCTAGGCTCTCAGAGATGTATCCATTGAGATATCCCTGGAGAGTGCAAGCGTTCCCGCTGGGGGTACAGTAAATATAGACTCATTTTTCACGTCCTTCATAGGGTCGATTGGATTGTCAATTGTGCCGTGGCCTTCTACGGGCTCGTAGGGAGTATCGGGGCTGATGACTTCAATTGGCACCCCCCCCCCCCAGCAGCCCGCTGTACTTGCGTGTCACTGTAAGCTGTACGGGAATTTCGCGGCGTTTGTTTAGAGTTGCGGCTTCGGGTCGCACGTGCCAACAGCCAGAAAACCAGCTGCTTATATAATGATCACATGACAAACTCGAACCTTAATATGGAAAAATGTCGGTGCTTCTACCACGTGACATAAATCAACCAGTATATTATGTAACCTTCAACGAATAAGCCAATCGGCTGGAAGAGAAAAACAACCAAACTCCAGCCAGTCAGAGACCGCAATTTTCAGCGTCTTTTCGTATTCTGTAGTTTCCCATTGGTCTATCGGATATTTATAACGCGAGCAGCCTATGGGCGGCCAGCAAAAGCAACGCCCGCCGCTCGGCGTACCTTACAGCGACTCGCAGCGAACATTTTGCTGGTTCGCAGCTTGTTTGACATGCATGAATTTTATGCGTTGCGGTCCTCCACTCGTGCGATAATTAGCCGGATCTAACCATTTGCCTTGCCCCTCGTCAGGAGGGTTCGTTGTGTTATTAATTGCGGGCGGCCTATAAGTTGCTGTTTGGTTTGCTCTCCTGATGCTCCCCGCTCCCGTGGTCCGGCAGCGAATTTTCATATCAGCCCTGCGTCGTCCGCCTGTGTGTCGAAGTCGACAAGCTGCAGCCTTTAGATCTTCATTTGGCTCTCCATTTGTTTCTTCTTTTACTCAGAGACGCTTGTATTACGGTCACATCACTGACTCCAAGATGGCTCCCCAGTTGGATCCCTTTTTCAAGAAGTAAGTCCCGTCTTTGCTCGTGTGTACGGGTTTGATGCTGACGGCGCTGCAGGGTGGATGAGCTCAAGCAGCCCTTCATTGAGCGTTAGTGCTATGTTCAATATTGATGTATCTGCTGTATCCAGCTCTGCTTTTATGCTGATTCTCTCTAGGCTTGAGAGAGGCCGTTGCTATCCAGTCTGTCTCCGCACAGGCTGAGAGCAGGCCTGAGGTCGTCAAGGTATATTCCTTATTACTTCTCTATATGAGGATGAACATCAATATTGACAGACAGTCCTAGATGGGTCTCTGGATTGCCGAGCAACTTAAGACTCTCGGTGCTGAGGTCGAGCTGCGAGAGCTTGGAAAAGAACCCGGCAGAGAACACCTTGATCTACCCCCCGTCGTTCTCGCCCGCTACGGCAGCGACCCCAAGAAGCGCACCGTCCTGGTTTACGGCCATTACGATGTCCAGCCCGCCCAGAAGGAGGACGGCTGGGCTACAGAGCCATTCGACCTCACCGTTGACGAGCAAGGCCGCATGTTCGGCCGTGGCAGCACCGACGACAAGGGCCCCGTTCTCGGTTGGATCAACATCATTGACGCCCACAAGCAGGCCGGTGTCGAGTTCCCCGTTAACTTGCTCTGCTGCTTCGAAGGAATGGAGGAGTTCGGCTCTCTCGGCCTCGAGGAGTTCGTCAAGGCAGAGGGTCCCAAGTACTTCAAGGATGCTGACGCTGTCTGCATCTCTGACAACTACTGGCTCGGCACTGAGAAGCCTTGCCTCACCTACGGCCTCCGTGGATGCAACTACTACTCCATCACCGTCTCTGGCCCCGGCCAGGACCTTCACAGCGGTGTCTTTGGCGGTACTGCCCACGAGCCTATGACCGACCTCGTCATCCTCCTCTCCAAGCTCGTCGACTGCCAGGGTAACATCCTCATCCCAGGTATCAAGGAGCTCATTGCCCCCGTCACCGACGACGAGCAGAGCCTCTACGACGCTATTACTTACTCCATGGATGACTTCCACACCTCCCTCGGCAGCAACACCTCCATCATGCCCACCAAGGAGACCACCCTTATGCGCCGCTGGAGATTCCCCTCTCTTTCCGTCCACGGTGTCGAGGGCGCCTACTCCGCCCCCGGATGCAAGACCGTCATCCCCGCCAAGGTCATTGGAAAGTTCTCTATCCGTACCGTCCCCAACATGGGCAGCGAGGACGTCACCCGCCTTGTCACAGAGTTCGTCAACGCCGAGGCCGCTAAGCTCCAGACCAAGAACACCATCAAGGTTGAGCTCATGCACGACGGAAAGTGGTGGGTTGCCAGCCCAAAGCACTGGAACTTTGCTGCCGCCTCCAAGGCCGTCAAGCAAGTCTTTGGCGTCGACCCAGACATGACTCGTGAGGGTGGAAGGTTAGTTTTTTTTCTTTCGATCCCCCCACCCCCACATATTTAACATATGGGATATACTAATCCGTTACCTGTAGTATCCCAATCACCCTTACCTTCGAGGAGGCTACCGGCAAGAACGTCCTTCTCCTCCCCATGGGCAGCTCTACCGATATGCCCCACTCCATCAACGAGAAGCTCGATACCCGCAACTACATTGAAGGAACCAAGTTACTCGGTGCATACCTCCACTACGTCGCCGAGGAGCCAATGAACGATGCATAGACACAGCCACACTGCATTTGACGTCTTGGTTCCTATTGGATTTCCTTCATCTCACCCCCGCTCAAAAATTCAGAATACCACTAAGCATGCATGCATATATGAATGTTGTACGTATCAGATAAATATTTACTTGAATGAAGTTCCAATCTTCACTATTTTTCCAGTCACTTTCTAGAGGTACCCGTCGTCTGTTCGGCGAAATACCCCAGTGAAGATACCCGGTGAAGAAGATCTTGTGAATACCCAAACTGGTTTGCTGGAACAATATAAAAGCCCCAATCTGACCTGACCATTTTCATTTTCTTTCTCTTCTTCTATTCTCTCCATCCCCTACAACATACCTAAAACATACTTTCCTATAACATACCTATAGTATATTATATACTAAAACCTGTTCAGAGGAAAGAGGTTAACTGCCTCCCCCTGAGGATGTTATCAACTATACTGGAAAGGAAATGCAGTTGCACAGGCCATTTCCAAGCCTCCGCCACGTCCTTGCTACACCTGCGGAGAGATGCACTGGCATGTATTCTGATTAGGAGGTGCCTTGGTCATTTTACATGTCCCATACGACTGCATGCTTCGCATGCACTCCTCACACCTAGGAGAAGCCCACTACGTCAAATTGCATAGTTCACTGCGCTTCGAGAATAGAGCATGATCCCACGGCCTATCAAATTGACTACAGTAGGAGAGCTTTTTAGAACATCTAGCATACCGCGTAAGTTATCTCTTATTATGTTAGATTTTTAACTAATATATTTCTATAGCTTGCAAAGGCACTTCTATACTTATATCGTGGCATGTCTCGTGCGTGATCGCCATATGAAGACTTTGCTATGTCGATTTGACAGGAGTCCCTGCCCCTGATTCTGCTTCTAAATGGACTATTTTACAAATCAGCCGGCGATGTCCTCACTAGGTGTTATCCACCGTCTATTTCGAGGTATATAACCCCAGATGCTACAAAAGCCCAGTTGAAGCTGCTCACATAATTCCTCCCTCCTTCTTTTCTGCGCCGGAGCTGCAATGTGAGCCTGGTCCAGGCCGTAGGTGCCTCCAGTGCCACTTAACTAGTGCACCGTGCATGCGAACGGGTGAGTGATTCCATGATTCTGAAATTTTATGGGTGTTCAATTGAACTAACGGTGCCTTAGGACCCTGACTCCCACGAGCTTCGTCAGCTCCGCCTTCTTAGGCTGGAGATCTGGGCTTACGAAGCCCGAACTGGCGAGCTACACCGCTCGCGCCGTGGGGAACTGCATCAGCTGCACCGGCAGCTGATGGCCCCACGACTCGCTGAGCGTGCAGAGCATGCTTGAGTGGCTGGGCTTGCGTCTGCGCAAGCTCGCCGCGCTCGTCAGGAGGGGTCGCAAGGCCTCCCTAGCGGCTATTACTCCCGTCGGTGCGCTTACACCCGCTTCAGCATCACAGCTATCTTTGAGATCCAGCCATTGCTATTGAGAATCTACCATACCAACGGTGATATCGAGTGCATTCTCAGCCACGGGAGTTTCTAGCGCCGCTTCATCTACTTAACCTGTGTGGGCTATAAGTGACTGGGGCCGTACAGCCCAGGGATGCCAGTGATAGGGAAACACATCGAAGAATCCCCCCGACAATGCAAAATTTCGCCAGACTTGCGACTTTGCAATGTGTCCCATGAATCGGAGCGCTTTCTCTAATGCAAAACTGGGGAAGTGTTTGCGGGACGCCAGGAGGAAAAACTCCAGCCGTTTTGATGTCAGGGGAGTGGTTAGATCAATGCCCTTCTGACAACTATTCGAAGAAAATAGGAGAGTTGA